TGACGAGTCCCTGGACTTGGTTTCTGGCTCTTCCTGGTTCTCCTCATTAGACCTCCGCAGTGGGTACTGGCAGGTGCCACTCAGCCCTGATGCCAGACCGAAGACGGCCTTCTGCACGGGCAGAGGGCTGTGGCAGTTCCGGGTCCTCTCCTTTGGCTTGTGTAACGCCCCAGCCACTTTTGAAAGGCTGATGGAAAAGGTGCTGGCTGCCATTCCACGACAAGAATGTTTAGTGTACTTAGATGACATTCTTGTTCATGGGAGCTCCTTCAAGACAGTCCTGGGATCCCTCCGGCAGGTCCTAGACCGGATCTCTGCAGCTGGCCTGAAGCTCCACCCTGACAAATGCTGTTTTATGAGAAGAGAGTTGGAGTTTTTAGGGCACAGAATTGGAGGGGAAGGCATCAGCACACTGGAGGAAAAGGTGCAGGCAGTAAGGGACTGGCCAACCCCGACTAGCCTCAGAGAGCTGAAGAGCTTCATTGGACTTGCTTCTTATTACAGACGGTTTGTGCGCGGCTTTTCTTGTATTGCCGCACCTCTGTTCTGCCTGCAGCGAAAAGACTCTGATTTTGTGTGGACACCCGAGTGCGACCAGGCCTTTGTCACATTGAAAAAGGCACTGACTGAATCCCCCACCCTGACCCCTCCAGACACCACTCTGCCATTCGTCATAGACACAGATGCTAGTGATGTGGGGATGGGGGCAGTGTTGAGTCAGGTGGGACCAGAGGGGGAGAAAGTTGTCGCATACTTTAGCAAGACATTCAACAAAGCTGAGCGCCGTTATTGTGTGACACGTCGAGAGCTACTGGCTATTGTGAGAGCGATAGGGCATTTCCGCTACTACCTCTGTGGTCTGCCCTTCACTGTTAGAACTGACCACTCAGCTCTCCAATGGTTGATGTCCTTTAAAGAGCCAGAGGGCCAGATTGCACGCTGGTTGGAGGAACTAGCACCATATGACTTCAAGGTTGTGTACAGGGCTGGAGGTCGCCATGCCAATGCTGATGCAATGTCTAGGCGGCCCTGTGTTCCCGATAGCTGCCGCTATTGCGAAAAACGTGAGGCCAGAGAACAGGAACTCCGTGCTGAGGAAAGGCGTGGCTCTTTGTGCAGTGGAGACACGCCAATCTGTAAAGTGGCACAAGTTCACGATCCACCTGAATGGAGAGCTCAGCAGGAATTGGATCCTGACTTGCAACCTGTGCTACAGTGGGTGGAGTCAGGACAGAAGCCACAGTGGAGTGAGGTTGCTAGGTTCTCCCTGGCTACCAAAGGGCTCATTGAGAAGTTTGGGGCTCTTCGAATGAAAGAGGGAGTGCTCCAGAGGGCGTGGAAAGAACCAGCCACTGGGGAAGAAAGGTGGCAAATTGTCGTCCCCAGAGCCCTCAGAGACTCTGTTCTTAGGACTTGTCATGGAACGACTGGAGCAGGTCACTTTGGGGTCTCAAAAACCCTTCGCAGGCTCCGACAAGGGTTTTACTGGGGACAGCTTAGGAGGGATGTAGAGGATTTTTGTCGCCGCTGTGACCTCTGCGCTGCATACAAAGGTCCCCCTGGCCAGTCTCATGCCAAGCTCCAGCAGTTCATGGTGGGGGCCCCAATGGAGAGGGTGGCCGTAGACATAATGGGCCCCTTTCCCCGCACAGACAAAGGAAATCATTATGTTCTTGCTGCCATGGACTACTTCACCAAATGGCCGGAAGCTTTTGCCATTCCGGATCAAGAGGCAGAGACTGTGGCAGACACACTGGTGGAGGGAATGTTTTCCAGGTTTGGGGTGGCTGAGGTCATACACAGTGACCAGGGGAGAAACTTCGAATCAGCTGTCTTTGCTGCTATGTGTGAGCGCATGGGGATGCAAAAGACACGGACTACTCCACTACATCCTCAAAGTGATGGGCTAGTTGAGCGTTTTAATAGAACACTCGCAAAACAACTTGCCATCATCACTGCAGAACATCAGCGGGACTGGGACATGCATCTTCCTCTTGTCCTGCTGGCCTACAGGTCTTCAGTCCAGGACTCTACATTGTGCACACCTGCTGGACTCATGGTGGGACGAGAGCTGCGGACCCCAGCAGAAATGTTGTTTGGTAGACCCCCGGACACTCCTGCCACCCCTCCAGGCCCCGAATATGCCAGGAGGCTCCAGGACCGGATCGAGACAGCTCACACCTTTGCACGTGACCAGCTGCAGAAGGCGGGGATACGGCAGAAAAGGAACTATGACATAAGAGCCAAAGGAAAGGACTTTGTTTAGCCCCAAAAGGAAGAAGGGGAGGTGCCCGAAACTGGACTGTCACTGGGTGGGTCCATGTGAGGTATTGGAGCGGCTTGGGGAGGTGGTGTATAGGGTGCAGCTGCCACCTAGAGGTAGACGGGTGGCCCTTCACAGGGATAGGTTGGCCCCATACATGGGTAATGCACAGCCCTCACAGCGCCCTAGACCTACAACACAGAAAAGAGGAACAGCCATACCTCAAACTTTGACTGGTTCTTCCACCCTTTCTGCACGATCTGACTCATACCTTCACTCACCCCCGGCCCGGCAGCATGTTATTCCTAGACAGCAGGCAGAACAGCAGGTAGCCACCCCTAAAAAACCACAGAGGCAGAGGAGGGCCCCAGGTCACCTGAGGGACTTTATATGTGATCCCTCGGGGCGAGGGACTTAGTAAGGGGAGGGCAGTGTAGCAACCTGCAATAGTTAATTGTTAAAACCTTGTTCCTTTTCTCTAATTGTTATGTGATGTGTTATGTTAAGCTCATGGCCTGCGTGATTGGATGAAAGTTGGGGGGGCTGGGCTTCTGTTACCTTACGCATAAGAGGGGTTGTGAGGGGAGGGGTCTCTCTCTCTTTTTGCTTGTTTGGTTCTGTGAGTAGCGTGGTCCCAGGTTGAGCGGGACCTATTGAACTGTTAACCGGGTGTACTGGCGTGGTTACGGCCGACAGTAACCAATTCAGTTCTCGCAATAAAGCGACACTTGTTAACTATTTGTGTGTTCATTACCGGGAGACGCTACAATATTGACTGTACCAACTTAAATCTGTCTTTTATTATGTAGCTTTAAAGTTATATTTATAGGTTTGATTTAGTTAGTCATAACCAAAATGCCTCCTGCCGCTAGAATAAAAAGTACATCTGTAAACTATTCTGTAAATCTGTAAATATTGTAATGTTGAATAAAATGTGTAATGTGGGAAATTTGACGGCTGTGTTATACTATTGAATTTTTGACTTTTGACTGAGTTTTTTTTTTAACAGAGGAACCCCTAAGAACCAAGTACCCCAGGTCGCCCAGAGCAGTGGCGCCATCTGCTGGAGAAGGAGTGCAAGAACCAGACCTCTGGATTCACCGTAAACCAGGTGTCCTTTTTTGATGACTGTGGCCAGATTTGTAATATATTGAAATTTCAGATAAATTTAAATTGCCTTTGATTTTCACTCTTGAGTTGAAGCTACAAGACACAGGTACAGAGATACGCTACAAATACTCTGTAAAAACATGACTGGAGCACCATCCTCCATCTATGGAAGTGTAAGATCTTACTACAGATGCATACCTGCATAATGTTTATCAGATTAGTAGACTCACACACAGCTGTACTCGGGGTAGTCTCGGTTCTGCACAAGTTTTATTAATGCTTTGTAGTTTCTGTTAGGTTAGGATCAGTGGCAACTGGGCTGTAGAGGGCTCAAGTGTGTCGAACTTCCTAACTTGACCTAGATAAAAAAAATTAATAAATAAAAATTATAAAATTGTATCATGTTAAATGTGCTCATATAATTTTATTTGAGTCATGTTTGGCATTTGAGTTTTTGGCCTATTGTGATGCGTGATCGCTCTCTCCCGCCTAGCCCAACTCTTCACTGGCAGCATATTATTGCGACAGTCTAAACAACAGAGCTGTGTACTACACAGCTATGGCGAGTTCAGTTCCAAGTCAAAGTGCGTCCAAGGAACAGTTTTTAGGGAGTAATATGTCTTCTCTTCAGGGACCCTTGTGCCAAGCAAGAAAAGAAGCATTAAGCTGAAATGAGTGCATCTGGCTGTGGTGAAGGCTGACGGCTCTTGTGGTGATTCACACAGTGGCTAATGACATCTACGTTCGCCCTAACCTTCACACAGGAGAGTGGGAGGAGAGTCCTAAAGACACCTGGGGCTCTGCAGCCACCGAGACTTGGAGGCACTCAGTCACTGCCTTATCCGCCTCTGCCCTCCCGTTTCTGGGTGTAAAAGTTTCAGGTCTTAACTCTACTTGGTGCCCTAATTTGCCTGATTCAATATGGACTGGCTGTAACTTTTAGATTTAAGTGGGAAGTAAGATTAAGATTAAGTTTTACAACCAGCTTGTGCATTCAGCTCCCAGACATTGTGTCGCGGACCTGACTGGACCGGGAGTTGGACCAGTTTGAGCTCTTCACATTGGAGACAACCAACAAGACAGTGGGTAGAGAATATGTTCTGCATCAGTCCCCTGGAGAAGGTAAGTTAAGGGCAAGGTTAGTTATGGGCAAATCTACGGGTGCAGCCTCACAGGTAAATAGTGTTATACTTAAATAGTGCTTAAATGAGCTTCAGAGCTGCTCCGGTTGTTCTGCCGTGCGCTGTAGGAGTGGCGCTGATGCCATGGGTTCCTGTTGTGACCGTAGCCTTTTATTGTAGTTTTGCTGACATTGTTGGAGCTAGGTGTGAGCGGTGGATCAGGTTCTGTGCTGTGCTCTGATGGATATAGTTCAGCCAATAGAAGCCAAAATGACTGTCTGTTTCTGGCATTCGTTATAATACTATATAGCCTATATTTAATAGGTATATTTATAATATGTATTTATCATTTTGGCCTATGCCAAAGAAGTGGTAAAAGTGAAGGGAAAGACTGCGTAATAATGAAACAAGGAAGTGTGCATTTAAATATCAGAAGTAGCAGAAACAGAGCAGCAGAAGATATGTTGAGTTGGAGTTATGACAATGACCCTGAAGAATGGGTAGACATGAGGTCGCCTGCAGAGAGAGAAGGAGCAGAGGAAAGAAATGTGATCTTTTATGAAGGTCCAGAAAATATAAGGCCCAGTACTGGTCCAGATAGCACCCAAAATCAGAGAGATACAGAGTCACTGCAAAGTAAGTAATGCAATGAACAGTATTTAAGCTATATTTTCAGTTCATTTTTTCATATTTAAACTATACTACTTTTCTCAGCATGGTACAGCAAGAGGTCATTCATTGCAGTATACCACCAGCTGCCACTGAGTAAGAAGTGGTAAAAGTGAAGGGAAAGACAGCGTAATAATGAAACAAGGAAGTGTGCGTTTAAATATTAGAAGTAGCAGAGACAGAGCAGCAGAAGACATGTCGAGTTGGATTTATGACAACGATCCTGAAGAATGGGTAGAGATGAGGTCTCCTGCAGAGAGAGAAGGAGCAGAGGAAAGATATGTGATCATTTATGAAGGTGCAGAAAATAAAAGGCTCAGTACTGGTCCAAACAGCACCCAAAATCAGAGAGATACAGAGCCACTGCAAAGTAAGGCACAGTATTTAAACTATATTTTCAGTTTTGGTTTTTTTTCATATTTAACTGTACTATTTTTCTCAGCATGTTACAGCAAGAGGTCATTCATTGTGGTCTCACTGTCTTTGAGTGTTTTATTGGCCGGCATCACAACTCTCGGATTTTTAAGTATGGAGATTACAATTTATTACCTAAAATTGTTTGCTTGCTTGTTGTTATTAATTCTATGACTGCTGCAATGTTGTCTATACACCAAAAAGCTATTGAATATGTCTCATTGAACCAGGCCTCAAGCTGCAGCTAGAGAACGTGAAATTTGTACAAAAACATGAAGAGTTGAACAGAGAGAGACTTGAACTTGGTAATTGTATATTCACTGTGTAAATATAAATTGAAGCAATTTATACTACTTATACTGTAGTTTTTATGTTTCATCTTCTGTTATAAAATTAGGTTAGTTATTTAACAGCCTATTGCCTCTGTTTGTTCTGTCTGCAATTATCTGAGATAAAATTGTGTATTTCTTTAAAATGCACCATAAATATAGGAGTCATTTAAATTATATTAATGTTAGAACTGCTTACAGGTAATTTCTGTAAAGATGGATGCAGATCGTGCAATCAGAGTTTTTATTATGTTTCGAGTGAATTAAAGACTTGGGAGGCGAGTCGACAGGACTGCAGAGACAGAGGCGCATATCTGATTATCATCGACAGCAAAGAGGAGCAGGTGATACCACAAACTAAACTAGTATTAAGTGTTTTCCATAGCTTACAAATGAATAAATTTTTACATTATATATATATGTGTGTGTGTATATGTATATTTATTTTTTTCCCCATTTTTGGTGGCTTCCACCAAAAAGGTTACAACCTTTAATATATGTGAAATGTACTCTCTCAAAATATGTTTATCTGTTGTGTGGATTCTGTTTTATTATCAGGAATTTGTCAGTTCTTTGAATCAGTACTACTGGATCGGTCTGAGTAGCAAGGAAGGTTTTTGGAAAAGGGTGGATGGCTCCATTTTAACCAATAAACCAGAGTAAGTTTAACTTCTGAAAATATATATACAAATGAAAAAGAAATTAAAGTGAGACTAATCCTGTTCATATTTTTTAGGTGGGTAAACTGGGACTATTCATTAGGACTTGAGACCAAAAACTGCATTTTAACCTATTTATACAGGTCCACTCATTATTGGGAAAATTATGATTGTAAAAAATATTCAAAATGGATATGTGAAAAAAATCTAAACGTCTTAATAAACTAAATAATAAATATATGTATTTGCTCACCATAGACCTAAATATAAAGATAAGAAAAGAAACTGAAAAACATAATAAAACTTTGCTCTGAATACATACAATAAATTGAAACATAGTTGACTCTTGCACTCTTGCCAAAAATAAATGCATATCCACGTTCCTAGTTCCTGTTGCTTTCTTCCATAATAAATGTTATTTATTCATTTAATATAAATAAAATACATATTAATAAGACAAAGTGTTTTTTTGTTTTTTTGTTGTTTTTTTTTTTGTTTCCACCCCAATGTAATAGGTGGCGCCAACATCTTCACTGTGTTTTGGAAACACCGTTGTATTTAGCTATCACTCAAAGAAGAACACAGGCTAACATAAACAGCTCAGACACTTTTTCTGCTGTTCTTTTCTTTAGTTTCACTAGATCGGGGAAAATGCGTCTTAAAAAGCACACTGCTGTCGTTGCGTTTCACTCTCAGCTGTCCGCCATTTTGGAGAAGTTGATGGTTTTAGCTGTGGAGGAGATAAAGGAGCTGGTGTTTGATTTCTGCGAAGAGATTAGCCAAGAGAAAACTCAAAACAAGGATCTATACGAAAGGACGAGAGAGGAGCGAGGGGAGAGCGTCTATCAGCACTCTTCTGACTCCTTCTATATAGAGACACAGGATGGTAAGAAAGTGCAATAGTAACATTAAGTCCTTTTAATGTGGAAATAGCAAAAAAGAGGAGGCCCTACACAATGGGCTAATAGAAAAAACTAATTAATCTGTGCACCATATACCATATGAAGTTTGATGAAGTCGACTACAGAAATGATAGAAAAGGGGAAACATGCTACAAGCTTATTATCTTACATCTATTGTTATAACGTAATTAGATGTTGGGTACTGTTACCAACATTTAACAAACAGTATTTAAAGTTAGATAACTGCGTAAAGGTTATATTTGTTTGCTTAAATTAAAGTCTCAAATGATGACTAGAGTGCAATGTCCATTACTTTTTTCAAAAATAACACAAATAAAATACATCAACTAACATTTGTTTATCGTCATATTTCATTTCAGAACATAGTGAACCTCAAGACCAGGTGAGCCCAACAAGCAGTAGAGAAGATGCAAAGGAGAAACCATTTCCAAACGCATTTTCCAGCTATGACAAGGTAATTTAAAAAATTTGCAATTAAATTAGTTGAAGTCTCACTCATAGACTGTCTATATATCTATATATTCTATACAGTCCATGGTATCAAATATTTCTCACTTTATTATTGTATTTTATGTCACAGGAAAACATGTCAACCAACTGCAAGTTTGAACAGGTTGCTACCATTTCCAAAAATCCTTCTACCTTTGAACAGGAGGAAGAGAGTAGTCATGAGGAGGCCAGGCAGGCAAACTATGAGCCACCACAGGACAGCAAAAAACATCTTATTGATTATAACTCACCAGACGAGTCCCAGTGTACAACATATGATGAAGATATTTCCGCAAATCAAGACCACAGTCGTGATGTTGATTTTCATATCAAACAAGAGGAAGAAACTCCAGGCTTTGAGACAGGTAGGCATATAGATCATTATAATTCCAATGTCGAGCAAGGGATCAATTTCGATAGTTTTGACACAAGATCCGAAGACACACTGCCGTCTACTTTGGACAACGCTGGACCTATGCTGGACATCCCTCCTTTTTCTTTATCAGATCAGCAAATGAACGCATATATTTTTAATCCAGAAAGACAATACGCAGGCCATTCTGAGCTGAGTTTGCCTCCAAGTAAACTGGTTAAAAAGTATGAGTGCGATTTTTGCAACAAGAAGTTCTGTTATCCCAGCGACCTGAAGCATCATCGACTTTGGCACACGCGTGAGAGGAAGCATGTTTGTCAAATCTGCGGAAAAGCTTTTATTACGAGGTCCCATCTGCGCCGCCATGAGCTCATGCATTTAGATGTACAGCCAAGTGTGTGTCAAATATGTGGCTACAGAACTTCACGAATGGTCTACCTGAAGGAACACATGAAAACACACAACAAGAAACACAATAAAATGTAATCCAAGTTGTATTTGTCTAAAAGTAGTACAATTGAAATTTATACATTTCATCATCTACTTTGCCTTACAATAAAAGTAAAAAAAAAAAAAGTGTTTCAACATTTTTCTGTTTCATGAATTTGTTTATCAAAATCTATGGCTTTTTTCCTCATGTTACTACAGCAAATCTTCCTAATATGAATTGATTTGCATGGTGTTTCTCTATTTAGCCACCCCATACCCACTTCAAGACTATTTTATAGCCCTCTTTTAACCTATTAGTAATAAGCAACAATTTGGAAATAAATATGGACAGAATTTGGAGTTATACTTTGTTGTTTTTTCATTCTGCAAGTGTTAGCGTAGCTGTGCATTTTCATAGTATTGGCTAAAATTGCAAATCAGTTTAAACCCTGAGGAGGATATGCTGTGGCCCCTAATAGAAGCATTTTGCACTTTAATGAATTTTCATGCATTTTGTGTAGAACTGATATTTGACATTTCTGAATTAGGAAATTGCACAAGATTTCAAATGCAGACAGGTCTGATGGTAACAGAAGCTCAGCCTACTGCTCAGGTAAGCACTAATAATGTAAGTATGTTTTTCTTATATGTTGATAAGTTGAGTCTAATTTTTTGACTTGTTGAATTTGTTTCGTAGGATTTCCTTTTGGTCAATCAAGCCTCTTACAACCCACCCTATAATGTGGCCTTTGCTTCTATGGACATACCAAGGCCGGCCCACACACTCCCCCATGTCCATAAAAACTGGAACAAACCAAGCAATGGAAACACTTGGACTTTACATCAAACCAACAAAGTGTTTAAGTGTGAGTACTGTCACAAGACATATCGTTTTCCAAGTCTCTTGAAAGCACACTATATGAAACACACACAGGAGAAGCAACTAGCCTGTCGATATTGTGGCAAGCTTTTTAAATGGGAATACAGTTTGCGCCGACATGAGAGGTCATATTGTGGTAAATACTAGAAAGGTTACTTCACGTGACTATTATAAGATAAGGGTTTTTTATCTTTATTGTCTTATCTGAAAATACTCAAGCATGCATGTCATTACCATGTATGAATAGCTATGTAACACTCATAAAAGGTCATAAAAATGTAAGAATTACCATGTGCTCTGATAAACTTCAGGAATGACATTGTGACCACATGTCTTAGCCCCATACGCCACATCCAAACAATTCTAAGCACTGCACTATGAAAAGCAAATCCACATTAAAAAAAAAAAAATTCAGAGCCTAGATTACTATTTTTGATTATTAGATTATACATCACTCAGAGCTGTGGGGAATTTGTTTTATGCAGCTCTATGCTCAAATACAAAGATTGAATCTCAATATGAAGGTATGACCAAAATAGCACATTGTCACAAGGATCAGATCACAAATCGATCTTCATCATCATGCCTGTGTGCTCTCACTATTGTGTTATGCTTAAATTGTATTTCTGGAGGGCAAGATATTAACTCTCTGTACAGTATATCCTTGACACTAAAAGAAAGGTCAGTGGTCACAATGTTAATCCTGATCTATCTATAGTCACAGTCCACATTTAGAGTTTGTTTCCATTTCATTTTTATAATTTGTATGTCTATATTCTATAATTTTATAAATTCAAAACCAGAAAATGTTACTGCAAAATAAATGTACAAAATATGATTTTTTTTCTTGTTATTCTTTCATGTAATACTGTAAGGTAGCCTACCAAAAGGGCTCTGATAAAATAAGAGTTTTCAAAGGAGAAGCTTTTTAACATGCACACAAAACAAAAGTATGACAAATTAAAAGGAAGACATTTTAGCTATATTATAGAAACCAGTGGCAGAGTTTGCCTTTTACTGAAAACAAGACATTATGTAAAGAAGGCTGTGTGCTTCTGTTGATAAATTTAGAGCCCGACTGATATATCGGTTGGCCGATATGGGCACCCGATATGATCTGATATGGGCCGATATTGTTATACCTCGTAGACTCTCTACATCATGTTCATTTAATCCAATTTACAGACAGATAAATGTCCTAATATATGGCTCTGCATCAATATTTATCTACAGAGTCATTTGTCTGTGTGTGTGTCTGTACTGTCCCTGAACACACCCCCAGGGTCACTTCACTCACTGCACTTGTTTACACCCGCAGACACCGATTCAAACACTGAGATTATATGCTTTTTACAGACAATCGGTTTGACTCAGGGTTAAAAGAACATGTATTATTGCAGACTTGTGACGTGAGGAGGAGCCTGTGTGAGCGGTAAGTGTTGGAAATATTTTGACTTTGAATCTAGTTTTGGTTGTTTGTTATTAGTTAGCGATTAGCTGCTGTAGCTCCCGCACATAACACACTGTTTTCTCTTCAATTCGCCTGTAGCAAAGTGACTATATTGGCCGTATCTATGTTACTGGACCTGCACTGATATGGAAATGAGCTGTGAATAGGACCGTGAATGATGACATTTATGCATATAATTAATTACCGCGGCGCGCAGCATTTACATCTAAAGGCTAATAGCGGTAGTTTCTTTACTAGCGATGGGTCGGTCGCGAGCGAAACGGCTCTTTGAACGTCTCTTTCTCAACTCCCATTTTATCGGTATCATATCGGCCACAACAAAATCCATATCGGTTGGGCCCTAATAATCACTACATATAATTTTGTTATAATATTATAATACTATGATCAAAATGTTTACTTATATAGTAAATTATTGAATTTTCTTCAGGATAATAAAGTATGTATCTAATCTAGCCATCTAATCTAATTTTCAATTAGAGCTCAGCAGACTCCTAAAATACTCAAAACAATGTTTATAGGGCTTGACTGAACTCTAGTTTTCAAGAGTATATCTGAAAAATAATATGGAATTTTCTAATGGGAATATAAATCTATTTAGATTGATTTAGATTGATTAGAGTCTCCGTAATGTCTAATGGGAGTTTTACAAATAAATATCCAATAGGATTCTGAAGGGGATATCATGGGATTTTTTTGTATTGTATCTCTATAGGATTCTAATAGGATCTGTGAAATCTAAGAGGACTTTTTGACTAGCGCTGCACTCACAAACATTTTGTGAAATGTAATCATATATGTATGTATATGGTTGTAATCTGTCTAGCACATAGTCCAGTTAGTATTTTTAAATTGGGAAGAAAAAAAAACGTGGAAGTCTTTTCTTAAACATTTTTAAATATTTTCAGACTACTAAATCTCAGTATTAACATTTATTTGTTTAGAGCTAAAGTGAATATTATCAACCTAAACAAATTGTTTTAAGTATTACACAGCCCTATTACCTATTGTTAACAACTGTTTCCGAAAGCGTCTTCCCAGACGTCCTGCCCACCTGTAGCACACACATTAGCCCCACCTACGGTCCAAAAAAGGGAAAGAAATACACGCGACGACGCGGCGCATCTCGTTTACGTTTGTATTCAGTCGTCAAATGCGGAGAAGTGTTCATATGATAATTTGGTGAGTAGCCCATAAAGTACATACTGCTTTATTTATGTTATGTATAATTTGTGAAGTTGAGGTATTTTTGTTTCTTTTTCAGCCTTGGTTTAGAGATTATGCACACATCATGTAACGTTAACGTTGTTTAAGAAATTGTCCTAATGTAACGGCATGACAGTTACTACGAAGTACGTAAAATGAGCCATATATAAAAACTTTCTTGAAGAGTTCGTGCATGGTGAGCTTCAAATCAAAAAGCTTTTTAGGATACAATTTCTCTCACGAATGTGCTTCAACCGCTCTTTTCATGCAAAAATCTAAACAAGATGTGTGCAAATAAATAAATAGCACCTGCATAATTGCACTTGGCTTCGTGTCCATGTTGTGCCATGTGCCGATATAGATTAGGAATAATCTGGATTACAGTAACGTTAACTGCTGCACCGCCTGTCGTCCATGAGGGACTTTACACTGTCAACTCATCTTGTAATTATGACCCTATGAGCCTACTTTTACATAATGGTCATTCAGTATCCAACTTATCTATACATGTGCAGACTATTAGCTATGTGGACTCTTATTTGTACTTGCCTGTAGACTTTCTACCATACCGATTTCTTTATGGATCATTGTCGATATTTCTGAAGGGTGATTTTTCTATTAGCCAAAGAAACATATAAATATAGTGTACACACACCCCAATTTGCCAAGACTCTGAAGGCCACATTTCCAGATAACACAGGCCAAAGTAACAGGATTTATCAACCAGAGTATGAGCCTAACTACTTGTGGGCCTATATGGTGGCTATTTGGAATACTTGAAACTGTTGCCAGCATTGGCCAAGTATAGTTACATTTATTTATTTTAAATATGTTCAATACTTCATTTATTTTGTTGTTGTTGTTGAGTAGTCTTTCTTTTGTTAATTGTTGTCTATTGCTATTATACACTTATAAATAGCCCTGAAAATAGTCCTGAAAGTTCAGTATTAGCCATGTTTTAGATTAGTTTTTGTTTTGGTGCTATTGACCTTTCTTCAACTTTATCTAATTTGAGTTTAGTTCTAGTCAGATATGCAAAGTTGTGAGAATCACTATTTATAAAGTATATTTATGTATGCTTCCTTCTTCTAAACAGTTTAAACTTGGACAAGATGAAGCTGTTGCTTTGCTTTGGTTAAAATCTGATCATTACAAAAATTTGGAGCAGACCAGGACACCATGATGGGGTTTGATGGAGGTACAAGACCGCGGTACTGGTTCACCCTGGTCTCTGGGGTGGTGGAGTGCCTGTGTTTTGCTGGAGTACTTTTTGGATGGGCCTCTTTGGTGTTTGTGCTCAAAGAAGATGGATACTTTGGTCAGTACTGTGAAGGAAGTCCCAACAGCACTTCAGTGGCTCCAGGTAAAACTCCCTAAGATCTTAAAATATACAACTGACAATTTACACTTTGCAATAATCAGATGGTACAATTTTGGTGATTGTTCGGCCTTGTTCTCTATAGCATTGTTTTGCAAAACTGAACTAATGGTTATGAAATAATGTCAATGTTGTTGTTATTTTGTTTTGTTTTTTTCAGTAAGAGTATCCTGGTTTCTCCAGCACTTCTATAATATAATAGTATTTCTTTTAGAGGTCATTGTCCATTATTGACTATGTTTATAATTTGTGTAATTTTTTTCAGACTGTAGTCGTCAGGATGAGCAATTCTCCCTGGTGTTTACCATTGGATCTTTCCTCAATAACTTCATGACCTTCACAAATGGATATATATTTGACCGTTTTGGCACAACAGTAACCAGACTTCTGGGAATGTGAGTGTGAGCTTCTTTTATTTGCTAAGTTAAAAGTAATTTTTGAAAGTTCTAGAAATACATTTGAGAAAGATCAGACTGGGGCTGAGATTACACATCAACACCATCTTACTTTTTGCATGATCTAATGTAACCCCCCTCACCTCAAAAAAAAGAAAAAGAAAAAAGACCCTATTTGACCCTGCATGAGCAGTTACTGAAACTAGAATCATGCAAAGTCTTAATACATATTGTAGATGATTTTAACCATGGCAGGCTACATTCAGGCCAAATTTAATTACTGTTTACAAAAAAATGCAAAACTGAAAAATAACTAGAAAGTAAAATATAACTAAAATATATTTTGGTAAAATGGTAAATGGGTACATTTTTAGATAGCACTTTTTCACCTTCAAGGCACTCAAAGCACTTTACAACAAGGAACCACTCACCCATTCACACACACACTAGCTCTACCAAGTGAGCTACTGCCAACCAACCTCGAAGAAGATAATGCAGTGGATTGAGTTTTATTCAGCAGCATGTATTTCTTCTTGATCCTCAAAGTGCTTGACTCATTCTAAGAAAAGCTGATTTGTAACATTTATACATTGATAGTTTCTTATTTAGTCAGGTGTGAACATAGATAACCAGATATAAAGATATCATTGTGACACTGGTAAAAGGTGTGACCCCAGAGGTTAGCGGGCCAGGTTTGTATTAACCAATTCAACTTCACCCACATTTTATCTCTTCTAAATCTGGGAAATGCTTTCTACTCCATTCAGTACATTTTAAAAGACATTTTGTAGTCTTTGGATGGATGAATACCATCTTTTTTATTCAATAATGCACCTGTGTGATGAAACACACATGTTTGAATCTATATAAAGTCCAAAAAGAGGGCGCTAATTTAATATTAAATATGTCATCAGTTATTTCAACAAATGATTAGTTATAATTAATCTGATAAATCAATGCAGTCTACTTTAAACTAGGTCCTTTGCTTTGCTACAGATTTTTGTACACAACTGGCACCCTGCTTGTAGCATTCTCTAGTCCTGGTAAGTGTATTACTGTGGTTTCTGTAACTTTTTTTACATGCAATTTCTTTCATTTTAATTTGCAAATCATGCTTAAATTCAAGTGCTCAAGATGTAAACTGCTTATTGTTATAACTCATAAATAAAATTATATCCTCTTTTCAAACAGCACTTTCTGAGATGCTTTTTCCAGCCATGTCTTGCATTGGTGTGGGAGGGATTCTACTGCTCATAACAAACATGCAGGTGAATTTAGAAAGGCCATTCAACAACTTAGAAAAATATGGACTAGGGGTGGGCCATGTGACAATGTAAAATCCAACCTGGTTATTGCCAAATTTGGAGTGATCATTATATCTTGATTCATTTTTTATATTTAAAGGTGCAAGTTATGAGCTAATCAGTGGAACATTCCAGGTAAAACAATAACAAAAGGTTTCAGATCCTTCACTAAAAAAGTACATAGTGCATCTTTATTGCAAATCCATGCTGGAACACATAAGCCTCATTTCCACTGGCAGGATCCGCTTGGAGCTGCCTTGGTGCGGGCCAGTTAGGAGGGATCATCCCCACCCGGGGAGCATTTCCATTACAATGGGCCTAGGCCACTTTGGGTGTTACACAGGTCTAGCAAGACACACCCAATTGCATGACATAGGCCTGTGCCATCACAATTGTTATTTTTTGGAATGGGTGTAAGGCAGAGTTTTTACTATACAGCCCACCCCTCTATAAAAGTGCAGATCTCATAGCAACAAGAACTATGTACCTAGTCCTTGCAGTTATATTTTGTACAAAATTGTTTTGTTCTTGTGAATACATTAATATGTTCAGGCCATTTTAGTGTGGATTTAAGACGTTCTTATAACTATAATTCTAATTTACTGTGCTTGTAGGTGGGTAACCTGTTTGTGGGTCATCGCTCCACTGTTATCACTTTGTACAATGGTGCATTCGACTCCTCATCTGCAGTTTTTCTTATTTTTAAGGTAACATAATTTTAACATTACACTGATCCGACATTATCACCAGCTCTATATAGTATACAGTGCAGTTCTAGATACTGTTTAGTGCAGACAGAAAAGCATTAGTACATATAGTACATATGCCTGTAATCACTTACTTAACCTGTTATTGTGATATCTTCCTATTTCTTATTTTATTTTATCTTAATGATATCTGTCTATTTGAAGGCCATCATTGCAAATATGTAGTTTGTATTTAATTATTTGTATGTATTGTATATATTTATATTTATTTTTCTTTTTTTCCCCAGATTTTATATGAACAAGGAGTCTCCCTACGCACCTCCTTTGTAGCTTTGTCTCTATGCAGCATCCTTCACCTCACAAGAACCTTTTTACTGATGCCCAGATCTTACATTCCCTACCCTCTACCAGAGCTGTATACCTATGGGTGAGTTGAGTCTTTTACTATTTCAAATTCATTATGAGCTGTTTATTCAAACAACAATGACATCAGGAAGGACATCTTGCATAAAATGTGTACGAAACCAAATATACAAGTCACTGCAAGCTACAGTACACCTAGAAAAACATGAAGGAAAGAATAACACTTTGAATACTTATTTGCAAATTGATTCTCTTAAATATTACTTACACATAAATTAATAAAATTGGTAATGTACATCATACTTAAGCTCATTAAACATTGTCTGCTCACTTAAAGGTCATTTTTAAATTGAAAACCAAAGTGTGTCACTACCCTCATCTTTACTGCATTGCATTCTTTTCAGAAACTTATCTTGTGGAAAGGCAAATTCTTACAATGTTGAAAATTTTGAGAAGGTTACAGAAGACGCATCTAAAAAGGAATGTGAAGCAGACAACATGTCTCCACAAAAAGGTTACTTATGTTTTATTTGATCCCAGCCCTTTAAATGTGCAGTAAGTTTCAACAAAATATCACTCTTTCTACTTTTGATATTTCTTTTTCGGATTTATTTATTTCAGGTCAGAATTTCCAAAGTTGTGTTTTATCTTGGGTTTTCTTCTGGCACGTGCTGTGGTTATCCACCATGCAGCTCAGAAACTACTTCTTCATTGGAACACTTAATCCCATGATAAGTCGACTGGCCAACAATGATCCGGATTTAAGTAACTGATAAAAATCCCCTTGTCTTCCCTTAATAAGTCATGTAACTGGTGACATTGTCTTTATTGGTTTGTTTTTTGCAGTTAGTAAATACACCAATGCGTTTGCCATAACACAGCTCTGTGGGGTGCTGTGTGCTCCCTGGAACGGGCTCATCATGGACAGACATAAGGGGAAGCCTCTAGCTCCTGGTAAAACAGTGCACCCTATGTATTTGTAGATTTTATTTGTCCCCATTGGTACACTATTTAGACTCATCTTTCAACCAGTGCCTTTGGGCCAAATTTAGTAAGAGCACAGGACAACCGTCGTGCAAACCCAACTTCAGATATTAGCTACACATCTATGGTCAGGAGAACCTAGCTGTATGACAAGTCAACTATCCTTGTTTTGGGTTATGTAAAATAATGAAATAACCATTGCATGTTAAATGCAATGTCTTACAATACATACTGTGACCTTTTTGGGGCAGACTGCCAGAAATTATTGCCTTTTAATGTAGCCCATCTTCACTAAACAACTTACAAAAAAAGAATATTAGTCCAGAACAAAGGAGCTCAAGATCTGCACTGTGGCTGCAGATTGCCCCTGACAGGTTGTCTCAGTGGCACTGAAGGATGGATGAAAAGCAGAGGACAAATTTACAAAAATTAAATCATACAAATGGATGAAGAAAAAATCCAGTGTCTTACTCAAAGACACATTGACAGTCTGATCTAGTTAGCCTGCCAAATCTTCAGTTATAGGACAACTTACCATCTGAGCCACTTTATAATACACTTTTATGTAAAATATAGAATTTCCTGGCTAAACATAAATTAAGAGCCAAGTATACAATGTAGGAAAGTAGGAATCACCTGTGTGGTGAATTTGCTTTTAACTCCAGTTGTGTTGTTCCAGGTGAGACTGAGCAGGAGGCGGACCTACGCTCCTCTGTGCTCTCCCTCTTTCTCACGGCTCTTCAGTGTTTATGCTTCTCGGTGTGTGCCTCTGTGCCCATCCTCCCGCTACAGTACCTCACCTTCGCTTTGCAAGTTCTCAACCGCTCTTTCCTGTTTGGGGGAAACGCCGCCTTTATCAGTGTAGCGTAAGTCACCTGCATTACCAGGTGCATAAAATTCACTTGGACTGTATCAGTTAGAAGTGGGGGGGTGTACTGCAGTACTGCAGTTGTGGAGCTATGCAAAACAATGAAACATTTTCTAAAAAAAATGATTTAGTAGGCCTACCCTTGACCACTAAAAATTTTTTTAATTGGTAATTGCTAGAACGCCATGAATTAACTATACCAACAAAGTTATTTTATTCGTAGACAATACATTTATTCTACTCATTCTAGAAGCTCTTTAAGAAACACCACCTATAGGTTGCTAAGATCAATTAATTAGATGTAAATCACTTCATAATATATTTTTGTCAAGTTTGAGCAATCAAGTTTGTGCAATGTAAAAATGTGAAGACAGGTCAAGGTGAAGACGTGGACACCATTTTGAGTTTATTATGCATTTATTTTAAGCTCCCATTTTTTTTACATTGTTTATAACTGTGAATATGTAAAGTCTAATTTCATGGGTTCATACGGTGAATGTAAAAAGGTCTCAAGCTAAAGCTAAATGCCTGAGCTCAACAGTGACCACCCACTCCCTGATTCGGTAAAAAAAATAAATAAAAATCTTTCATTTTTCCAATAGATTTTCTGAAAAATGAGCTGTAGTGATTAATGACCACAAATCTGTTTCTGAAATGTTATGAACCGGATTCACCTCTGTGATGCCTGTAAACTTTATTTTTTTTATCTATCTTTTTGTCATGAGCTTTTATGCTGGTGGTGGTATATTAACTGGAACTGTGCAAATAACACTAATGTAAACAAAAATGGCAAACGGAAATGTTTACTGTACATTTTTTATTGCATGATTGTGATATAAGAAACAGTTGAAGAGAAACTTCAGTTTGCTGTGTTTTACAGGAACATTTAATGTGCCTGACAGGCCCAAAACCTGGATCTGTCACACATAAAAATTGTTAAGAACAGGACATGTGCAGTACAAGAACACAGGAATCTCACATGACACAGTATGCTAATACACATAAAACAGTAATGTAAATGGTAGCTTAATTATTTTTTCTATGTAGTGGTTTGCATGATTATAAGCATGGTTCATATCAACACTAACAACTTAAATTTTTCTTCCCAGATTTCCAGCTTGCCACTTTGGGAAGCTGTACGGACTGGTGATGTCATTGTCTGCGATCGTGTCCTTACTGCAGTATCCATGCTTTGCTTTGGTCAAAGGGGTTTTAGGTGGAGATCCACTTTATGTGAGTAACTGGACAGTAATAAATAATACACATTTTTAGAGATGCAATCATTAATCTAATACAGTAATTTTATATATTCCAGGTCAACATTGCTCTGACCATCCTCATTCTACTGGCTTTCATTCACCCCATCAACATCTACATTCAGTGCAGAAAGTCAGCACAAAAGAAGACAGACCAAGTTGAAGTTTATCAAGGCACAATTTTAGCAGAGACTACATTTTAAATTACTATATTACAAAATTTTATTTTTATTTTTTGAAGTGAACTTATATTTTATATTGAAATACATTGCTCCTGATGATGCAATTTGAACATGAGAAAATGTTGCACTCTTAAGTTTTCTGATTTGTGGATTTATAAAAAGGGGTAAAAATAAAGCAAAGACAGTGTTGATAACAGTATTATATTAATGTAACATGACTAACATGAAATATCAAATCCAATTTTGTACTATGAGTGTGTAATACAAATTGGCCACCAATCAGCTTTTAAATGTCTGATTTGTTATACATTCATTCGGATAAACATTATGGTTAACTTCTAATAACATCAAAAACAAGTATAAAATAACTACAACATAAAGTGAAATAAGTGAGTAGTAAAAAGATACCCAGTTAAGGTTATGTACACAAATCTACAGAGAAAGGCAAGTATAAACACCATTAATACAGTTTAAGTTTAGTTTTGTGTATGTTGTTGTGGTGTAAGAACAAAATGGCATCCAAATTCTCTGGGGGGATGTTGGACCTTTTACCTTTTGATGTTCCCGTTCCTTCTTGTAAATATCCCTGTGTCGCGTTCCCGGCTACTGCTGGAGCTGCCAGATAGGCCTGTGCCACCGCGGCCAGTTGGGGAAGCTGCATTGTTTTGCTTCTCCACCACTGCAGAGGCTCCACACCTGGCGATACCCCATTATCCGACCGGAAAACATTAATTTCCAAATCCACAGACTCCTCCACAGACTTCTGCTTGCTCCTGTTTCCCGTGCTGTACAAGTCACCGAGTAAAAACTCCATCCCCGACAGCCCATCTTCAGGTGGAGGCTCCACCCATTCACTATCATTGGGGTCGATATCGCTCCCATCAGAGTCGTCAATGTCACGGAAGTTGATTGGCTGACAGTCCTTGAGTCGCTTGCTCCTCCGCCTGGACTCCTCAGGTGTTGAGGGGGAGGGACTTCTCTTGTACTGTTGGGGTGGTTTCTTTAAACGGGTTTTATTGTGGCCCTCATTTGAAATCCTCACTGCCTCGTTTTTGAGCCACTGAAATGTGTCACTCTGCTCCTGAAAAATAGACAGGACAATAACATGAGTAATAATGTTATCATACAATATTATATAATTCGACGAGTTTCCAAATATAATGCAAGCAATACTGTAACTTTCTGAAGGTGGAACGTCACTTGCATGATTCCATAAAGGTCTTCTTGTTTTACCCAACTCATTCCAATAGTTATAACAATTAAGAGGTGTGCCAAAATGTATATATAGTGTGATACATCATTTTTTGATTCAGTATTGATAGATGCAATTTGCTTTGAAAATCTCAGTAAATTTCATAAAACTAAATCGTGGCAGCACTACAATTTGATTATTTAGAGAGTTAAGTGTGACACACGTTTGTAGCAAAATACGAAAATGCTTTTCAAAAACAAATCAGTTTAACAACAAGGACATAAGGAAGCCAACATCTGTATTAACTGTCTAGATTTTTTAAAAGAAAAATGTCACACAGCAGGACACTGCAGAGCTTTTTGTTGTTGTTAAAATGCCAAAAAATGAAACAACTTTCTAAAACTGTAATTTATGGAATATGTATTTGTGCACTGTTGAGTTGGAGGAGTTGAATTTCAGAGAAAGAAAAACATTATTTAGAAAGACATTTTGAGAGAAAATGTCAAAAATGGGCATTGTGTCAAGTACCTAAATATATTTATGTAATGCAGGTGGCATGTTTAGTGTTAAATTAACTGTATTTTATAGATAAAATGTGTTAGTTAAAAAAATGTTATATAGTGATTTATCATTTTTACATCATATACAATATATCAACTGTTGCATGTACTGCCACAGTGATTATATTGTAATTGTGAGGGACCCTGTGATTCCCAGCTCTAATGACCAATGCATAAATTATTTACGTAGACAAAAGTTTCAGTAATCTAAAACTGCATACACTAACCTTTTCAGACATGAATCCAAGTCCATGAAACTGGGGGTCGAGGGCACAGGCTACGTTCAGGACCCTGTTGACAGTTGGCGTGTCATACCAGTGGCTCAGGTTGTACCTCATCATTGTCTTGGCTTCTTTTAGGATGGGCGAGTCTCCCGGACGAGTCACAAGATGGCGGGTGAGAAGGCCCGTGAGAATGGGTTTGATCAGGGACAAGCGGGGGAACTCTTCTTTGGCTAAAGTCTGACACGCCACATCCAGAGGTTTTAGGACGAGACACAAATCCTCAACAACTTTCCATTCTGTGCGTAGATACTGGCTGTTTGCTACTGAATTGGCAGATGATTCAGAACTCGTGTCTTCTCTAAGCTTATTTAAAATATCCCGCAGTAGGGCTTTATGTTTTAGTAGTGTGTTTAGCAGTAGATAGACCTTATTCCATGTTGGTCGGCTATGGACCCATATTTTCACTTCCACTTGCTCTTCATTGGTCATTCCTTGCAACAGATGGTCAGCAAAGGTTTCACTGTTGGCTCCAGTTTGAATTGGCTCCATAAAAAGTCCAGCCAGAATATTCTGAAATTTGCTCAAGACTTTGGAAATAGCATTCATTGAAATTAATTCATCAATACAGCTTTGCACCGCTGTGAAAAAGCATGGGACAGAGGGCAGACATTCAATAGTTTGGTTTTCCATACTGTTTTCTTGTTCCACTGGTGAAGTTGAATCATCTCTTTCCAAAAATGTTGTTGAATTTGGATGTGTGTTACTCCCACCTCCTTCTCCCAAATTATCACTCATCATTGGGACTGCTCGAATATCGTTCCACCCTTCTCCTCCCAACACGGTCATATTAGCATGGGATATGCCCCAATCTTCTGCCATGGCTCTAACTTGGGACTCCACTGCCTTTAGATTCAATCCAGATTTGGAAAGTTTTTGAGATGCCAAGGCACGATTGTGACTGTTGAAGTTTGCATCTATGTAATGGACCCAGAGAGAAAGGTACATCTCTGTGTTGCCCTGCCACGTATGAAACCAAACATCCACACTGAAGTTGACCAAATGCGGGACGTCTTTTTTGCGCCTGTTTCGTTCAGCCTCTAATGGAGCCGTGTGATCCGTAGTGTCTGCCTTGATTCGGAGCATCTGAGCTATATTTGTTTTTCCTTTGGCATGCAAGTCTTTGAGCAAGTAGTCCAGCTTTGTTTTTGAGGGCAGATCCAGTTTGTGGGGAAGAAGAGTGTTGATTAAATGTTGAAAACCTTTTCCTCGTACTAAAGAAGGAGGCTGGAGATCCATAATGAGGAAATACAGAATGTTGTCCGTTAAATTGACTGATGATGCTGGTGTAGGTGGGAGGACAGCACGCTGAACTGTTAACAACAAAAGCACACAAAGAAAGTTTTTTTTCCAGGCAGCTTTAAACAATACAATATATAGTTTTAATAGATTTAATTAAGTTCAATATCATACTGTAGAATGTCCCAGGCAAAGCAATAATATCCTAATTGGAAGGTTAAATAAGACAACTGGAGCTCACAAAACTGTTTTAATTCCAATATTATTACAGGGTGCGGGGTTGGTTCTCCACAGATCTAACCTGTAACGTTGGAAAGTTTAATGCCATACTGTGGACAATTCTTAAAATGAAAGCAAATAAAGCAAAATACATGTCCCTGAAGACAAGCAGTCACTCCATCATATAACTTACAGAGAACTTTAAATTCACGACTTTTGTAGCGGTCCTACACCTAAAATAATGCCCACTCAGAGGTGAGGGTTTGGCAAATGAGGATTCATCGGATATAGCCCAAACTCAAAAAGTAGGCCTATAGGCGACCAGCATACCTTGCACGTCACTTCGTAAATCAACATATATGCTACGGCTCAACGTTCGCCATTATGTGTCTCCGACAGGAAGGACTACAACAATGCAAATTCCAACTTGGTAAATCGAAAATATTGGACAACAGCCAAAAACATTTGGGGTAGTGTTGAATTGCGGCTAAATCTGAACCCGTGATTAGCATTCTGAAATAGATGAAACAAGTGCGTGTCACATACCCTGTTGCAATTTGCAAAAAAGATTTTCCAACATGCACGCGTGCGCAAACTCGATTATGTGAAACAAAAAACTTGTGCACAGACAAAAAAAAAAAAAAACCTTTATGTTGTCGATTGTTCGTAAACAGTATTAGAAATGTTGTTAACGTAGGCATTGTGTGAGTTTGTAAAACTGTGTTTATGGCCTTTTAGTAGACCAATTTGTAAAATATCATTATACCTTGCGCGTTACTCGCGCGGTTCTTCCCCCGAGTTGAATCCGAATGAACCGAGTTCTTCGAAGTGGCGGCGGCGGGATTCTTTACAATACATCTAACTATGTCCGGGAACATTGGCGGCGGAGAGGAGTGAACATTCACGTCGTGTTTTCGCCTCAGATGTTCTATAAGATTCGATGTGCTGCTGCAAGTGTACTTCATTGATTGGTTACAAATGACACACAGTGCACGCGTCTTGTCAAGTTGCCCGTCGTCGTTCACTAAAAACCCGAAATATTTCCAAACTTTTGACCTGTGACGCTGCGGAGAGAGCAGCAGTTCAATCGGCTCATCCTTTGGCTCAATCTTCGCCATGTGTTTACGACACAGAGGACCACACAACAATGAAAACTCAAAAAAAGTTTTAAAAGACGGACAACGTGTCAAAAAATAGGCCGTGCGGCAATTTGACCCAATCCAACAACTACATAAACCTCGTGAAGTGTGTTTAGTATGTATAGCTCTTGCTCCTGCCGACACTCTGCACCGAAGAATTTACAACGTGCACAAGCGTCACCAACGCGCCCCCCTTCCCTCGGACAAGAGGACCTATGTATTGCGCAACGCACTGCGCATATAGCCTCCTATATAATAACAAAGGCAAAGAAACATGATCGTACCTGTACTTGGCCGCAAACTGCTAGTACTGGTGCTCTCTCGTGGTTTGATGTGATGTTTGACCATCATGTGACTTTTTATTTCATAAACTCCCCCGTTTCCACAGGCAACGAGATCTCCACAGAGTTTGCATATGGCGGTCGTCCTGTCCAATGGGCGCCCAGTGTGGTCAGGCTCAAACCCAAAGAAGTACCATAAGCTACCATCACCAGATGTTGGTGGGTGGGGATGATCTGGGTTGCCCACTAGTCTTTCTGTACCAGGCAAAAAGTGGTACTTGTTTTCATAAGGATGGGGGAAGTACCCCAAGGAGGATGATGGTACTGCAGGGGAACTATGGTCAATACTTCCACCTGTATTGATGCTTGTCACTTCACTGATTATTGGCATTGGACTCTGAGACTGGCTGTGATCAGACCAAAGAGAGGAGTTGCTTGGTTCTGGGAGTGCAGAGAACTGGATGTCCTGTAGAGGCCGCAAGAATGACTCCTTGTCTCCAACTTGACACTTCATATTCTCACCAGTGTGTTCAAGACCCAGCACAGAGGCATAATCTCTACCAACCCAGACTTTGAGCTCATCCCCTTCTGAGATTGGCTGGGACACTTTATAATAGATTTTACGGAAAAACTGGAAGACTGTCAGATTTTGGTCATCCTCACAGCTGGTGAATGTCACAAACCTGAAAAAGTCAAGTAAGTAAACATCAAGTAATTAAGCAAACAAAATGTTGTAAAGGTCATACCCACCTCATCCAGTTGGATTTGTTTGGGTCTGAACCATCAACAAAAATGAAAGAAGTTTCATCCCTGATCTAAGAATGGAAACAAAAGAAATTACAGATTACAATTGATTTTTGTAAATGATTACCGATGTGTGATTGGATTAGAGGTGGGAGATATGGCCAAAAATAATATCACAAGTCTATCTTACTATTTAGATTAAAAAAAAAAAAAGATTTCCCCTTTAAGAGATGATAAAATATGCATATGTGAGTTCACAAATTGTGAATCTGCGACTCACTCATGCATGATGGAAGTTGGCCAGCAGGAGGAGTGGGTGAGGAAACGTAGACAGAATCATTAAATAATAAGAAATCGGCAGCTGATTATCAGAGGGCCAAGTCACAATTAAACTTAATATTGTATTTCTGCCTTGTACCTACCCCTTTATTGGATATTGTATACTTACAGCCCATGCATATGTGAGATTGTCTGGAAGATGTCCTTTGCTTATTTCACCCATGTAAGGTCCAAACATTGTTCCAATTTGCAGTTGACATCTGGCATACACCTTCATGTCTCTGGTGTAGCTCTCAGATGAAGGACTGGACAGGTGTGCTCTTGAGTATTCCGAGAGGCATAGGCAGGAGGGCAGGGACAGTGCGGCTCGGGACGGGCCACCGTGGATCCAGGGATCTCCAGGTGGAAGCACAGCATCTGGCACATAGTTCTGGTTTGTATCAGCTTGGGCACTTAAAGATTGAAGCTCATGGATCAGCTCCTCGTGGCTTTGTTCAAGACCTAAAAACACACACAAAGAATTATTAATTATAAAGCCCTTTACACAATAATATTCTTACAACTCAAGCATTTTACAGTATTACAAACTTGTGTTACTGTTTCTTTCGTAATAGCTCTTTTATAAATTAACAGCTATCTTTGTGCATGTAATTCTGACTATCTACTATTGATCCCTTATTGATTCAACTCTAGTCTGCACCCACTCCATGCATGCTGGCAGAGGCAGCTGTGCATGCATGCAAAATTGAGCATAGGCTTTATGTGTGTATATATATATGTATATATATATATATAAAATTTGAAACACATTGTTCGTAATAAATTAAGATCTTGTTAACAAAAGCTTATCAATTTAATGGGCTGAAATATCTTAAACCTTTTAATCCAAATACCTTGAGTTTCCGGTCCAATTCCCAGCGAGGCAGAGAACGGTGTATTAGCTACTTCTGCACGATGGCGCCGTTTCAGATGACTTCTCAGGTTAGTTGTGTTCCCTCCTTTTGCAAGCACAATCTTGCGGCATAAACGACAAATGACTTCGTCTGATCTGAGGGGAAATCCATTTTCGTCTGCTCTGAAGCCAAAGTACATCCACACGACGGATTTGCTTCTAGGTTTTCCAATTAGGTCCATCTTTCTCTGTTTTTGTCGCAAAACCCAATGCTAGGGCTATGCAGAACATGCACGGACAGCTGCAAACTCACTCTATTGAGAGCAGACTAGCTCTCTACGGTCTGGAAAAACGAATGCTTCTGGCGTTCAATTATCGTTTAATCCTCGGTATACCCCGTTTAGATGAATTTCATCTACGTTATTGATTGTTAGATTGATTTTGCAACGTATTTCTATGGAGCCATCGTCGTCATTACACTGCGACCTAGAGGGTTGCCAGGTTTTAAATTGAAATGTAAAACGTTGATGCAGAATTGTTAATGGTATAATAAAGTATGGTTTATGCAAAAGTATTTGCATATTATTATTACTGCACGTTTATTACAAGTTGTAGTCTAGCTGTCAAAGAAAGCTAAATACACGTGAGTAAATTTTGTGATTCTCATACAGGTTCGGGCTGCGCGGGCCCCTCCTTTAAGGGGGCGTGGCACTGCTGTTAGGATTATTATCTAATTATGATATCGGTAATTGTACGCCCCCCAGCGTAATGTCACTGAAAAGTTATCAATTGTAAAGGCGTGTGGTCTTGACAGCTATTTTTGGTTGCCAGTATTGTAGTTAATAGCTTCATGGTCTTAACCCATTGTGGTGTTTTATTGAGATATGTTGTATTATCTGGCAACCTGAAAAACCTAGCTATTCATGCGGTTCATTCTGATCTTGCAGGTCGATATGAACCCCAAATCGCCCAGCTCACTGCACTTTGGCCATCAAGAGTGAACACAACAGTGCATATTTCAGGTGGGAATTGTTAAAATTGCTTTTTGTAAATCGTTTTAAACTGTCTTTAGTTATCTGGACTTTGCATAAGTAATGTGGACTCAGATTTGGACACACACAAAACATGTAGGTTCACATGTCTGTATGTCTATTTTATTTTCAGCAATATATTCATAGTTTGCCTAATTTCAATAATATTTTGATTTTGGTTTGATTTATTTATATTAATGTCCAGGTAATTTTTGGGGTCCTCCGACTTTCCGTAGAATATTATGTGGATGTTGTTGCTATGGCGACAGAACTCTAAAGTTTGTTAGCTTGTATGCTACATTTTGATCGAGAAAAGTTACTTATTTTGACCTTGAAACGCTGTTTATGAAACATAATAGATGGCATCACGCCTCGTCCCCGATTTCCCCGCCGTTTTGGTCGCTTTGGAGCATATTAAAGAGCTTGATAAGGAGCTAAAAGACGAAGGGGTCGCGTTTTGTCCGGAGGCTAGCGTTCACTTGGCCGAGATCACCTGCGCTATCACGGGCTTAGAGGCGGAGAGACGGGCGGCTCACGAACATTTGGAGGTGGCAACGATAGAAAACAGCAAGCTCCGGCATGAGATGAACAACACCAGAGAGCACATGAGCGCGGTGATTATGACGGATGTAAATGCAGCCAGAGCGTCCAATACAGAGGAGATAGAGCAACTGCGGAAAGACCTCCACGCTGTGTCACAGATACAAGAAACAATTGTGAAGAAACACGAATTGGTTGTGTCTGAAAATGAATCACTGTCTATGGAGCGAGAGAAAATTAAAGCGAAACATCAAGAGGTCATTGCTGCTTTGAACAACGAAAGAACGCAAAAGTACGCATTGCAATCACAACTGGATCAGACAAGGGAAACTATTGAGAGTCTCAAAGCAACCATAGCTTCATGTGAACACAATACTTTAGCATTACAGCATGATTTGGCTTTAGAGAAAGAGGCTTTTATTAAATGCAGAGATGATCTGTCTAAGGAGTCTGAGGAGAATGAGGAGAGGATTAACCACCAGAAGCAGGAGATATTAAAGAGCAGTAGAGAGCTAGAGATGCTCAGTGAAAATAAGAGAGATGGCAGTGATAGCCTGGATGATCTAACAATTCAAACCATACAATTGGAGAGCAGCATACAACGATTAAAGGCATGCAAGAGTGAATGTGAGAGAAATGTTGAAGTAGAAAAGGAAAAATGTAAAGTACTTACCACCCAAAAGGAAGCACTTGAAAAGCAACTGAATGAGATAATCAATGCATTTAATAAAGCAATAAAAGCTCTAAGGGAAGAGATTGCTACTATTGAAGAAAGAATGGTGGGTGCAAGAGCTACTAGGGCTCGTATACAAGATGCATTAGCTAAAGTATATGAGGTATTCAAAGTTCATGATGAGGAGGAGAAAGAAGTGAGGACTGAGTATGAATATGTATCACAACTACTGGAGAAATCAAGGATGCAGTTGGAAGAACGCATTGCCTCCATAGTTAAACATATGAAGGAGATAAATGAGATGAAAAGACAAACTGAAGGACTCAAAGAGAATGATGTGATAAACAAGAGAGTCTTTGAGAGGGACCAAGAGGAGCTTTGTGACAATATAGACATACAGAAACAACGTACAAAAGATTTGGAAGATGAGAAAAGGCAGCTGCAGAAGAATTTAAAGGAGCAAAAGAACACACAGGAAGAATATGTTAAGAAAATTACTGCAGATATCAAATTGACTTGGAAAAGAGTGAAGGAGCTGCAAATAGAAGAGGCTACACTTAAGCAAAAACAACCAATGAGCCCAGATGAAATGAAACAGTGCATTGAGAGGTCTAAGGCAGAATATGAACAAATACAGTCCCGTTGTCGAGAAGAAATGAAACAATCCATCAATGAAATTGAAATTGTAATGAAAAATTGTAAGGAAAAGCAAAAAGAAGTAGAGGAGAAGGAGACAAATTTAGAAGAGGTGGAAGCCACATGGAGAGATGCGGCTTCCAGGTTTGAGCGGTTAAAAAGACAGGAAACTGAATTTACAAAGAAAAAGTGTGATTTGGAGCACTCTATTGACATGCTGAGGAATGAAACCATCAAAACACTCAAACCAATAGAGAAGAAGAAAGCTGAATTGGAGAGGATTCGGGTAGAACACATGAATCAACTTAGAGAACAGGCAACAGATATGAAATCCATGGAGATTCACATTTACAACAGTAGCGTCAACCTGGAGCAAGTCCAAATGGAGAACAGCCGTCTTCACCTACACATCCAACAAATGACAGAAGACCGGAACAAGGCTAAAGAAGATATGGAGAGATACAGAGAGGAGGCCGAGCAGCTTAAACGGGACACTAAGATATTGTTAAGGAGTCTGCAGGAAGCATGGAGAGATGAGATAGAGTTGACCCAGGAGAGGCACAGTGTGGATGCAGCACTGGAGGTGCCCATGGGTGCGCTGCAGAATCACCTGAGAACCAGAGGGAGACAGTTGGGCCACGTCCAGGCTCTGCTCCATGAACAGATGCTGGACTTCAGCAGGAGACTGGGAGACAAGATCACTGTGGAGCCCCAGTCTTAAATTAATTTAAATATTACAGATGAGAGAGGTCTAGTGTGTTTTGTGTGTGTGTCTGTGTGTTATTAAAGATTCAGTAAGTTGTTATGAATGTTACTTGCTTTATTAATGTTGAATATATGTGCATTTAATCAATCAGTTTATTTCAAAACAATGAGAAATTAAGACCGTTGCCATAGCAACAATTGCAGCTTAAAACAAAATGTATCTTTTCAGTGTGAAAATGCTGCATAATAAGAAGCTGAAACCCATGAATAGCTAGTAAGAGTTACTACTTACCTATTGTGAAACATTGCTAAAGTATTTTGCTTGCAGGCATTTTACAGTTTATTGGTAATGAACTGTGAATAGGGCTTTTTAAAATATGTACTCCTAAAAATGTTTAAATGCATTTCATCGTATTATTAATAATTTAATTTTAATTTAACAAATGTAACTAGGACTACTACAAATGACTGTTTTCACTATTTATTACTATATTATTATTATCTAATAGCAGTTGGCTTTAATTACTACTAGAAGTTGATTTAGACTTTAGCATTTTTAACTAACTTAATCAATACCACTGGCTTGTGTTATCAGGTGTTTTTTGATGTCAGATTTCTCTTGGGCATGTCAATTCAATTTTTTAAAGCTCAATATCACAACAGCAGTTGTCTCTTAATGCTGATCAAGATCACTGATTTAACCAACAGAAAGTTAGAAAATTTAACAAATAAAGGACACTACAGAACAAACAGAATAACTAACATTTATAGAACACAAGCAAATGGATAACTATCCCAAAAAATCTCCTTATCCTCTTTCTTGGCAAGGAAAATGAAAAAATAAACCGTGGCAACAAGAGAAATTTTGAGGAGACTCACAGTCAAGAAGAGATTCTCTCCCATGGGCAGAGAAGCAACAGATATGTCCAAGACTGTTCAAATCTGTAGGGTCTGGGCCTCCCAAGGCTAAGGGACAGAGCAGCACAGTGGCTAAGTGGCTTGCACTTCACACTTCACAGTTCTGGGTTAAATTACTGGGTTGCCCGTGTCTGTCTCTGCAGAGTTTTTATGTTCTACCCATGTCTGTGTGGGTTTCTTCTGGGCACTACAGTTTACCCCATCAACCCAAAACATGCACAATCGGTAATATCCTCTAGCTAAGATAATCCATCTGGTAACAAGATCATGGAGATGGGTCCCCAAGCATGGTACTGTACGCCCACTGCTCCAGAGGAGAAGCCCCAGCAGGATTGAAAGATGGGTCAAATGTAGAGGACAGATTTCCCTACAAGGATAATTAAATGTACCTTATCTTAAAACGCACAGCAAAAACAGGTTTAAGTATTGGTTTATCTAATTATTGAAGATTTCAGTTCTTTCTGGCTGTGTGAATGTACTCACTTTTTCTCTTCCAGATGTCTTGTGTCTGTGAAGTACTTCCACTTGTTACCAGCAGATGGCTGTAGAGCACTGTTCCTCTGCTTGTGACCTTGCCCTGCTGTGAAGGGTCATAGCAAAAGCAGCTGCTGCCCCCTGTCTAAACCACACAGAGGCACATGTCCCATTTAAGTTCTTCACTTTATCAGGACAAACATACAGGAAACTGAGGGGACAAAGGACAATACAGCACAACAGTGAGTAAATGAGGTAAGCCACAAAACACTGGTTTGTTTAAACCAAAGGTTTTTAATGTTATTTTTGCTTCAGCTATAATTTCTACTCAAAGTGCGATCATATTTTACTTTCATCAATAAGTAAGTAATTAATAAATTACATTTGAAATTCTAATCAGACAACTTTTTTTAGACATAGACTTTACTGATCCACAAGGGAAATAATTTTATTACCTTGAATGGGCATTAATCTTAAATCTTAAGATGTTTTGGCTCCCATCTTGTGTTTAAACATTTAATCTTCATGGCTATTAAAACAATGATATTTTCAGTATTGTTATCATTATTTGATCTCTTCAGACTAAAACAAATGCCAAAAGACTTCTTAACAAAGAGTGAAGAGTTTTATACCAAAATGTTGATAAACAACTCTGAATCTTCATCAATAATGCACTTTATCTGTATATATTGGTTAATGTAATACTTAATGTATATGTAATACGTTCTTTTCGCCGAATATAGCATTTTCAAAACAATAACAGGTAACATGATGATCTAAATATGTTATGTGGTAGCAGTTAATGCCCCATAATAGTAAAATATTCCCTCTTTAAAAATGTATACAAAAAGTCTCAATGCACAATAGAAATCATTGTTGGACTCTTCATCTAATCGCTGACTAGTTGAATACTAAAATAATCGTTACTTGCTGTTGTAGCTCCATACATTCCACAGTACAAAAAGTTGATCAGTGCCCTAGACCTGTAGAAATCGAGGATGAGTACAAAAGAATATTACTTTTTATTAATAATTCATGTTTATATTAATTATTTATACGTCCATTGATCTCAAAGGGCTTTAAAAAGAACTGAACATTTGTCTGTGCCATGTGGTCATGGTCACCTTCATATTGAGTTTTACTAAAAAGTAAAGTCCTGGTTATTAGAAACTGTGATTTGTTTTGGACAACAACTATCTCACTGAATCTGTCACATGAATGTTTGTTTCAAAGAAAATGTTCTTTGGTTTTAAGCGTAGAAGTGAAGTCATCTGGGTCAGTCATAGATATCAGCTTGTGATAATATAGGACACTGACAAACACAAAATGGCTTGAACTTGTACCTAGTTTATCATTTTCTGAAAAGATATGAGCTTGTGTTCCAGGTTAAGGGCTACACAAACTTTGAGTTTGTTTGTGTTCAAATCTGTTTTTGCCAGGTAAAGTGAGTTAGCTGCAGCAAAAAGATGTGTCCAGTAGTTTTGGTGTTTTTTATATATATATATATAAAAAAAATTATATATATATATAGAGAGAGAGAGAGAGAGAGATTGAAAATAGCTTTAATCCCCAAGCTGTCACGGCATCCGTGTTCCACATGCATATTACGGGTTTGTTTACATGTGGTTTGGTAATTGTTAGAGCCCCTTAGTGCTGTTGGCTTTAATTGTTTTAGATTATAAGGATTTACATGGGACAACAGCAGAAAGGAGAAGTTGGTGAATTAGCTGAAGATTTTGTATTTTGAACTCATGATTCACAGGTCTGCCTTTATATAAATGTACAGTTTCCTAGTAGTTTTTTCTTCATAAATAGTTGTTTTTGCATGAACATCTTTGCAGTTGTGTGAGTGCAGTTTGAGTCAGATACACAAGGATACAATAGTTTTGAAAACTTTTGTCATACCCTTCTTTTATTTGACTAATCAATTGACAAGACATGTCTTTAGTTGACCAAGAATTTCTTTAATCAATTACAGCCTAGAGCCCTGTTAAGTCTTGATGAAGTTTTGTAGGCCTGGCCTAGATCTGCAGGTTAAGTCCTGATCAAGCTTATTTTATTCTTTTGGTGATTCTAATAATTTTCTATTCTACCCTCTTTTGGATGTGTTTTATGCGTAATTACATTTCTCCATTTCTAAGCATTCACAGAGTGTGATTCTGGCCTCATTGAACACAGTAAAGATCGTGAAAGATTTGTATTAACTATTGAAAATTGTCAACAGCCTCTTGGAGTGACACCCTGTGCAGTCTCTGCTCATTCATTTCACGTTTGTTTCTTATGGACACTGCGTCTATTGTACCGGAATAATTGTACTTTGAAAACAGGATATGACTCAACTCTGTATACTGTTCACGCTTTATATCAGCGGATGTTCTTTGGTGATTATTTCAACCATGCACTGTGCACGTAACTGAACAATTTTATAGATCTGGAATTTTGTCCACCAAATATACCACCAAAATCTTTGTATTTACAAGTGTTATCCATTAGATCCCAATGTACCTAAATAAAGACAAGACTAGGGATAATTTGCATTTAAACCAGTCTAAAACATGACTAAATCAGGAGTGGGCTATAATGATAAAAATCACTATCTAACATTTATTTTTCTTTTGATGTTTTATTTATTTTATATTATGGGATTTAGCTTATGTAATGACAATCAATTAGAAATGTTAAACGTGTTCAGATCAGCTTCAAATATGAAAAATCAGACAAAAAGTTAATAGACTTTCAAAAATTAAACCTTTTATTTCAAAGATTACACTAGTTTTAATACTGTGGCTTGTATAGAATGCTGCTTTATTTCCATGGAGATGTTAATGCTTTGACCAGAATGTTATACAGTGAGGCATTAAATTCTCAACTCTCCTTGACCAAGCTCGCCTCCACAGGTCTGACTTGTTACAGATTTTGTTAGCTGCTTATTTTCACAGAGATGGATACATTTATCATCATAGAGTGCGTATACATGCACATCAATATCCCAGTTATTGCAGTATTCGGGATACTGACATAACCGGGATACTGATGTGTATGTAAACGCACTCATACTTTGAAACATTCCTGGCTAATAACTAACATTTCCTTGGAGACAAGCAGGAGATCTCCTGTCAGAAAGGTTACATAGTATAGCTTTTAACAAACTGCTGTACATTTCCCATCACATTTCACCTGATTAAAAAACCCAGAGTTCTTTCTTCATTTGTGTTGCTGGCGTGACGTCTTGTGTGATGCTTTGTGACATACATACTCCCCTCTGCGAGAGCCACTCCACACATGAGTCACCGATCTGAAGGTAGCCAGACGATTACAAGTCCTAATCAGAGTGCGCCAGTGACGTGTATTAGACCCGGGGGACATGAGGAGAAATATCCACTTCATGTTGGATTGTCATGTTTAATTTTACATAGTTTTATTTCAGCACAGGGCAAGAATAAAACAATTAGTATTTTACAGCTTCTCAACCCTTTGTGAGTCGCGACGCACAAAGTTATGGTTGAAATAAGTAAAAGATTATTTGGTGGAAACCTCTTGGCACAAAGAATGTGGCGAATGTCTGTGCCACTGTTTGGATCTTTAAATGTGGCAAAGATGATTGTTTTGCTTTCTTAATGCAGACATTTGCGCAGGATAGTCCAAATAGTATTAAAATCAGAAATCACATCAAAAACATTTCCTCAAGGCACAAAAGAAGTCAAAATAAATTGTGTTTTTTGATTTGGCAGTTATTCTATCAGTGTATTGCAGAATAGCACTTTGTCATATCCTGTATCAACAAACAGTAGTAGTGTATGTAGTAATGGTAAGTGATGCAATTATATGTGATCGCAATGGTGGAAAATTACTAGACAAAAACTTTATTTGCAAAAGTAACAATAATATGATATTGATGAGAATGTGGTTTATGGTGATTGTTGAGATGAATGTTGCAGTATCTGAAGTAGTAGTAGGAGTAGTATTTTTTTACCAGTGTACTAGCAGTATACTTTCATGGTCGTAGATGAAAGAAGATGACAGATGGTGTCATCAGGTGTACATTAAGGTACATTAATTAGACTAGATGATCTTACTTTAATTCCAAGTACCTGTATATCTGGTACATTTTACAGTAAACATTTTGATCTACTAATTAATTCAATCACATTTTCTTTATCTTCAACTTCATTTTGTTGTGATATATTGTTAATCTTCTCTGTTAAATCTTATCACTATTATCTTTCAGCTCATGCCTTATCTACATTGTGCAAGTATTGTTTGCTCTACTGTACTACAGCACATGACTTGTAATACCCACTTTGGCCTGATGACGTGTGGACTTCCTAATCTTTCCACCTCTTTCTCTCTCTCTCCTTCTCCCTCCTCCCTTCATCGGTTTATAGGCTGCACACGGAGCAGTGACGACTCAGATTTCCTCACACACATCTGTCACTGTCTCTTGCAGCAGTAAAAACAAACTAAGCTAGCCCACCTTTCAATAGCACAAAATATCGCCTACAACATTGAAAGGGAGGACTTGTTTTGACTCAGACACAAGATGGACACTATGGGTAAGAGACTGCTTTTCTAAGTGTATGTTCTGCATGGATTTGTAAAGTGTAAGTAATTAGGAGGATAATGTCTGGAGACTTAAAAGCTTTGGTTTTACTATGCTATAGACATGATATTGGCTAGAACCTTTTCTTTTATGCAGTTGGATTGTGGCTTCTTGGAAGACATTTTAAATAAACAAGTCGACAATTTACCAAGTAGCTATTATAACTAGCAACTATTGTTTCGACGTCTGCATAGCAAATAGTATTAAGTCATTCCATGCAGCAGTGAACTGACTTTGCACTAACTGCCTTTTTATTCTCTCTTAGCTTTTTTGGCACTGACAAAATTGCATGAGAGCTTATGGCTCCCTATGGCTGGACTATATAGAAAACTACAGCTATTCTGACATTTTAAATTATTACGAAATTTACAGCTGAAATAGATTACATTATTTTAATTTGTTATAATTCAAATATATATATATATATATATTTCCCCCACAAATGTGTTCCATCTACATTGTGGGGAATTGTGTTTTTGTGTTTTAAAGTTTTCATCAGTCATGTAGCAAAATTTATATAGGGAAAAATGTGGCCTATAAGAGGAAGAGGAAAACACAAATTTGCCTATTCATAGGTTTCATCTTCATCTTGTAGCCCACATTTTGTGTATGCAGTGTTTTGTTTTAAATTGTCAGTGGCTCAAAATCATCATATAACATTGATAAAATTATTAGGTTCTGGCTGAATTTGTGTTTGAAATTAAGTTAAGAGAACATAAAATACACGTGCCCCTGCTACAGTATGTGACCCACTTCAGTGCAGTTAATGACTTTGACTGACAGCCAGGGAAAACAGATGGTGTCCGAGCACATGGACAGATTACTATCAACAAGGTGTGAGTTTCATAAACAAACAGCAGAAAATCAAGTCATTATTGTGTTATTAATCAGGCCACAACATAATGACATATGCAACAAAATGCTGATTGTGGCAAGTCTGGAGGCAAAATTAAGTCATTCAAATATATCTATGCTCTCAAAAAGTGAAAATAGATTGTGCATGTAGTAAGTAATTATGCATGATCTCAGTGGTGGAAATTTACAGATACAAAAGCTTTATCTGCAGAAGTTACAATAGTGTGATATTTGTGATAATGCATTTCATGGTGAATGTTGTAGCTGAAGCACATGGCAGATTACTATCAACAAAGTGTGACCTCTGCAAACTCTTTACAAATCAGGGTTATCTGGTGTCAAGCTTTCTCAGTAAACATCCTCTATCACATGACAGACACATATTGGAGCTGCACATTTGATAACATTTGTTAATTTGTCTTGTGACGTTAAAAGCAGTTGAATTTGCTGAATTTGTTGATTTTTTTGTGTGTAAAATATTAATTTGTTTATGTTCATGAACTTCACATTGAAAGCTATTTTTATGCTTTTTATTAAAAAATTATTACAAAAAAATAATATGCGAATATGATGGTAACATTATCAAATCAATATAGGGGAAAAGTAGGTTGTTCTTATTGCACAAGGTGGTGCTATATTATTGGTATTCTTAGTTAGTAATAATCGCAATTGTCTGTATTGTATGTTGCAGTAGTTGTAGTTACAAATTGCGTTCTTGGTATTGGTGGTAGTTGTATCTATGGTATTGTGGTATACTGGCATACTGGTATACTGGTATAGTGGTATAATGGTATATAGGTATATATAGTTGGAGTGGTAATAACAGTTGGAGCGGTATTAATGCAGGGATTGTTTTCACTTGTATTGTTAGTATAAGTTGACATAAGTACTAGATTTAGCAATAGGTGGCTTGAAGTAAAACATGCTCTTATTCTCATATTAACATTCTCAGTGCATTGACAGAACAAGGACAAAGATCATATGTTTGTATATCACTTGACCTCTCACTCTTGTGTCTTTATCGTCCCAGTGTGTCCGATGGGTGGAGGGGCAACTAGGCTCTACAGCGCCCTTAACCGCCCCCAGGCCCTCCCAGAGCCCCACAACAACACAACCCTGGACCCTGCCTTCTGCAAGGTAAACAATAGCAATATAGTAAGCTAGTTAAAACAGTAATAGTAGCAACTGTAGCAGTGATGGTTAAAAAACAGAAACTAGTACAAACAAAACCTTGTTGCATGTTTTATGCAATCCATAGCTACACTGGGGTTTCAAAATATTATGCACTGCAATAATATGGTATGTCTATTTGAATTTAAACTCTGGCATCATATGGTCTTCTATTTTTCATTTATTTATCTGTGTAAATGTCTGGCTTGTTTATTTATATTTATTGAGTTAACTCTGAAAGCCATTTTATGGTTTTAATAAAAAACAAAACATGAGAATATAATAACTAGAGCCCGACCGATATGGATTTTGCTGTGGCCGATATGAAACCAATATAATGGAAGTTGGAGCTGCCGATAGCCGATATAATCACCGATATATTTAGGGATGTAAAAATTCACTGTAAATGTTGAATTGTTTAAAAAACTTAGGTTTGGCTCTGGTGGATTTTAAATTGGGTTTATTTAGGCAACATTTATTGTTATTCTGCCTCTTTACATCATATTTACAGACAGTAGGTTGACTTAATGGCATTTTTGCATCACATTCTAGACACTAGTGATGGGTATTCCAGTTCTTTTTAGAGAACCGGCTCTTTTGGCTCGGCTCACTAAAAGCTGCTGGTTCTTTTGGCTTCCCAAGTGGCTCTTCAGATTGTTTTGTTGCAAGCAGGACTGAATCAGGACTGAACCAGGTCTAAACCAGGACTGAAAAAGGACTAAACCGGGACTTATTTATTTTATGCTAAACTACAGTCAAATATGCTCTTTTTTTTTTTTTACGTACACGCAAATTTCTCAAAGTTTCGTTTTGAGCCGCTGCCGCTGTCAAACCACGAGTCTGCACGCGGCGTGAAAAGAAAAAAAGTGAGAGAGAGAAAACACGGCTCCCAATAAGGATCAGGCTCCCGTCGTTCCCTTCAAAGAGCCGGTTCTAAGAGTCATTTCGTTCGCGACGGACCCATAACTAGTAAAGAAAGTAGCGCTATTAGCCTTTAGCCGTAAATACGTGCGCGCCGCGGTAATTAATTATATGCGCAAATGTCATAATTCACACCTCTATTCACAGATCATTTACATATCAGTGCAGGTCCAGTAGCAAATATACGGCCAATATAGTCACTTTAGAACAGACCAATAGAAAACAGTCTGTTTATGTGCGGGAGCTACAGCAGCTAACCCATAACAAATGACAAAAACTAGCTTCAGAGTCGACATATTTCCAACACTCACCGCTCATACAGGCTCCTCCTCACATCACAATTCTGCACTAATAAATGTCCTTTTAATCCAGACTCAAACCGATTGTCCGTAAAAAGAATATAATCTCAGTGTTTGGATCTGTGTCTGCAGGTCTAAACAAACACACGTGAGTGACGCGACTCTGTGGTGTGTTCAGGGACAGTACGGACACACACAGACAAATGACTCCGTAGATAAATACTGATGTGGAGCCACATATTAGGACATTTATCTGTCTGTAAATTGGATTAAATGAACAGAATGTAGAGAGTCTAAGCTTTATAACGAGGTATAACATGCCCACGTGAAATATCGGCCCCTATCAGCAAGCATATCAGCCGATAGCCGATATGCCTAAAGTTGCCCATATCAGCCGATAATATCGGCCAACCGATATATCGGTCGGGCTCTAATAATAACATTATCAATCTTATTTCATTTATTTATCAGTTAAATGTAGTCATTATATCAGGGCGTTTGTAGTGCATTAGTCGTAAAAATGGCAATCAACTGGTGTTCACGATATACTCCTTATGGAAGCAAGCAAGAGTGTTGGCAGTGGTAGGGTTAAATGTTTTGTATATTAAAACTGGCTGGACAAGATCTAAATAAAATAGAATAGAAGATTGCATAACAAATACTATGTCCTAATACTACTTTCCATTCTGGGAGGATGCCAGGGGAAATCTAAAGGTTTAAATGAGAATTAAAGCAGGGCTAAGAGAGAAGTGTCAATAGTACCACTACTTATAGGTGTGAACAGTGGCAGGATTAGCTAAGATTAACCCACAACAATTAAGAAAGATTAAACTGTAGAACTCAACTGGGAATAAAGTAGTGATTAGACAAATGATTGAGTGAGTTAATGTGGCTTTATTTCCAGTATAGGTTGAAACTAGGGCTTGTTTTTGTTCATACACCACTTTCCTATAGCCATAGGGATTTCTTCGTACTGAAAAATAAGTAGTGTTGCTATAGAGGTCATATGGAGCTCTGTTTAGTAAAAAGTTCTCAAAATGACGCCTATTAAAAAGAAGCTGAAATTCCTGAATAAAAAGCTTTCTCATTGGGTCATTTTGAAATGCAGAGATTATATACTTATCACACAATCAACAAAAATGTTAGAGCAGGACAAGCACTTCAATGATTGAATCACAGCTGATGTACATGAGCTGTCTGCTTTAAAGGGGACCTATTTCTGTAAACATATATATATATTTTTTTCATTTTATAAGGGTATTCCCTCACTATTAATATGACAGAGTTTATTTTAATTTGTAATTTTGTAATGCCCTGAAATTGTGTCTTGTTCTCAAAAAATATAATTTTACACCTACCCCCTATTTCTGCCTGCTTTTCTGTACTTAATTTTCTGTACTTAAATTTAGGGTTAAACAATGTTGCATAGCCATAATTCAGTAAACGAAAAGGTGCTATTTACTATGGCGAAATGCCACTATGAAAAGTGGGGCTTCTCAGTTGTGCAGTTTTTAACAGGATGTCAATGGACCTGTTTTAAGCCATTTTAGATCTATTTTGTGGTTTACAATGAACAAAATGTAACATGAGGATCTATGTGCAGTTGCTATAGTACTATGCTGAAAAAAGCATATCAAGTAAAAATGCTAATATCTGGTCCTCTCTGGCAGGAGCACAGGGGGTCCATCGTGAGGAGCTCTGATCCTGAGGAGCTGCGGCGACAGTGTGAAGACGCACTCCGGGACAGACCTCCCAGATTTCACAGGAAGTTCATCCACATTAATGAAGATGAGAACAGCGCCTCCAGTGGCCACTTCAGAGTGATGCAGTGGAATATACTGGCACAAGGTACATCCATAAAACTGTATTAATTAATTTTACCACTGTTTTCACTGCACTGTTTGGAATACTATTTGCTCATATTTCTGGTATATTTTACTTTTGAATACCTTTCCTCAGTTATCTGGAAGTTATCTAGAAGCTACATTGTGCACAATTAGTAAAAACCCTATAACCAATTCTCTCCTTCTTCTATCTCCTCCAGCTCTTGGTGAAGGAATGGACAGTTTTGTACAGTGCCCCCTAGAGGCCCTCAGCTGGTCCCAAAGAAAATATTTGATCCTGGAGGAGATTTTGACCCACAGACCGCACATCCTTTGCCTACAAGAGGTGGACCACTACTTTGACACCTTCCAGCCTGTGCTCGCTGGTCTGGGGTACTGCAGCAACTTCTGCCCCAAGCCCTGGTCCCCCTGTTTGGATGTGGAGGGCAACAACGGACCAGACGGCTGCGCACTTTTCTATGATCAGTCCGAATTTGAGCTTCTCGATAGTGTGAATATTCGTCTGTCTGCAATGAGGATACCCACCAATCAGGTTAGCGGGTGTTGCTATTGTGTTATCATAAAAGTACTAATAATGTCAAGTACAGGATCTGAATTATAATTATTGTTTAAATAACTGTAAACACAAATAAGTAGAGCATATACTTAATATAACACTATTACGCTTAATTATATATTTAGATAAACCAAATCAAATAGGATTTTTTGTAGAGTTGGTTAACAGCAAGAAACAGTGCACTTAATTCCATTATTTCCATTCTCTTACTGATATATACATTAAGATAGAACTCCACCAGCAGTGAATAAACCATTTACTTTATCTTGAACTCTGATAAATTGGCTTGTAGTACTAGTTGCAAGTGTATTAGTGGAAGAGTTTGGAGCATTGGTAGCATTTTACTATTTCAGTTACCTGTTCTTGTCTTTAATTTGAAATAATTGAACTTTCAATAAGGCCCAGTTATGGGGTTCTATTTCCACCTTTGCCTTGACAGAAAGATCTGTATATGACAACAAGCACTAATACAGGAGAAGCTGTGGTAGTAATTATTGTAGTAGTGTGGTAAAAGTAATTAGCTACTGAGGCTTCTAATGGATTCCTTTGTAAGGCTTATTGCATAGTCGTGACACGATTCACTGTCTAAGTAGTAGGAGACACAATTTCTGACGAGACAAGATATGAGATTGGGTCCACGAGCACAAGACAAGATGAGATTTTAACATAATTCCTAATACTGTATACACATTTCACAATTCACTTTCCAATTCTGGCCTCACAATTTTTTATTTCTGTGATTTCATATTTGTGTTTCCATTTTAGTACTTGTTTTGGAACTGTAAAAGGTGTAATTCACCAATACCATTTTAACCCATTTTTGTCCAATCCAAATGTAAACACTTGGGGAAAAAAATCTCACAAAATCATTTTTCCCATGTGTGTACAATCTTGTGGCAATTTTGGCTCAGGAGATCTAGTGGCGCGAGATCTTGTCCCATTTCTAATAAGTCATACTTACAGACAGTTCAGTTTATAATAAAAGTCAAATTAACAAAATTATTTCTGACCATTTTTGTATTCCTCTGGCTGCAGGTCGCCGTGGTGACAATGCTGCGTAGTCACCGTAACAACAGGTGTGTGTGCATTGCTGTGACGCACCTGAAAGCTCGGGCGGGTTGGGAGTGGCTCCGTAGTGCCCAGGGTTCGGACCTCCTCAGACAACTTCAAAACCTGGTACAGAGACACAGCCCCTCGCCAGCGGACCCCATCCAGGACATTCCACTGCTGGTGTGTGGGGACTTCAACGCAGTCCCATCCGAGGAGGTCTATCGTCGCTTCACCGGTTCTCTGCTGGGTCTGGACTCTGCCTACAAAAAACTCAGCCAGGACGGAACTACAGAGCCCGCATATACAACATGGAAGATCAGGCCAAGTGGGGAGTGTTGTAGCACATTGGACTATATCTGGTACACCAAAGGCTCGCTCAGAGTAGAGGCGGTGCTGGACATGCCTACAGAGGAGCAGATTGGCCCCAACAGGCTACCATCCTTCAATTATCCGTCAGACCACCTCTCTTTAGTTTGTGATTTCAGCTTCAAGGAAAGGCATTAATTCTCCCTAAATAAGTTGCATGTACGGTATGTTTTAAGAGCTGGGGAACAACTTGTGTGTCCATAAAGGTGCATAATTTTTCTGATGGCGATTCTGCAATCTGCTTGTTTCCATGGAACCACTGTACCTGGGATGTTCCACAGTACTGCATTAGACTTATCTGTCTTGCATTCATTTAATTGGTGGTTTTATTGCTCAAAAATACATTGGAAAAACACATTCTTACTGAGAGGGGTCACCTTTTCTTTTCTCAGATCTGGCCTGTAACTTGCCTTGGTGCCATCCCCTGCTTGTTACTGTGGAGATATACATTTAATGCTATAATGTGAAGTAGTCCAATCAAAGCAATAATATCTCCATGGAGACAAGCAGGTTCCCCCCCCCCAGTAATTCTCAAATTGTGGAACAGAAATTACTGGTGTTTTCAGGATTCACTGAGGAGAGCTTCTAAAGCTGTTGAAAGTTCAGATTTTGTTTTATTTTGGTTTTGACTTGCTCTAATTTGGGATTAAAGTTGAGTTTGGAGACCAATTAGGGGCATGTTTAGTTCTGGTCTAGACTTGTTGCCTTTAAGATGGCATCACAAATAAGGACATTGTCTGCTCTATTCAAATAGTTTTGCACCGGAGCCTGGTGGTATAAATAAATGAGGCACAAATACTGTAATGTGTTGACAATTTGCACAAAAATGTTGTTGTTTTTGTAAATCGTGCTCTGTTATAATTATTGTATTGCTATTGTACCTTATAAACCTTGACAATAAAGGATTTATCAGATGACTAATACTTTCTTCTGTTGTACTAGAGGTCTTGAAACTGAAATTATCTTTCATCACAATCCAAAAGAACTGAGACACACATTTCTGTCAACACAAGTTCACGTACAGCTTTTACTGCCTTTGATGCCATTCATTCTAGGATTCACTTTTATTAAATTACTTGGACTGTCGTTCCAAAAACAAATTCCGAACAACGCCGATAACTGAATTCAGCTGTTCTTGTATTTTTTTTTGTATCAGTTTTATGTGCAATGGTTTAGAGATAATTACAAATTAATTTTTAAATGAAATATATGTTCCACACTACAGATTCAACGCAGATAGACCCATTTTCAGCCACTGAAAGAGAGGACCTGGGTCATGAGTCTTAGTACTATTATGTGTGCAAATGCCACCAGAAACCAGCACATTTTGTACTGAATCTGAACGTGACTGTTTAAAAGCAAAACACAATGACTGCTGTGTAAACTTCACAGGTGAAAGAGCAAACAGTAACTTAGCTTATTTGATAGAGTGAATCATGTGGAGAAATGTCTATCATGGTTGTACAGACTTACAAAAGGCACAAACGCTGAACCATGTTTCAGTAAAATCTACTTTAATACACTTTGAAACAAGAGTACAACAAAATAGAATATACTTCAAATGTTGAATATACAAACAGTTCAGTCTGAACGCAAATCTCTTCCCTCCATAAAAACTGAAATGTGTGGGTTGAAATGGCTAAACGAGAATGTCGCCGTAATTGACCTGACCCTTTGATATTTGTCATTGATTTGATGATATTGTAAATTGCATTGTGAGCTCAGATACAGTACATCTGTTCAACTCAAATACATGACTGCATGCACTGGCCTTTTAATGCATTCCCAAAAGTGTGGCTGCAGCTTACACTGGAAAAAAACAAAAACAAAAAACACCAAGATAAATTTGACAAATCTCAACTCTTTTGAGAAGGAAAGTGCAAATAACCTGGTTTCTGACCTACATAATGCTGCTGTTACTAGTACTCAACAGCCTGATAAAAGAGACACTAATAAATACATGTATTAGCTCCCTTAGTTTAAGTAATACTGTGCTTGGTTCAAAGTATCAAAAGAAAAACAAAAGTTCAGCTTACTGTTCAAAAGATACATGAAACAAAAGAGTTAAAATTTAAACCTACTGCTGTTAACATTTTCTCCGTAAATATATTTTGTATATATTTACATGATCATAGACTTCCCTTTCCCCTCAGAGCCCCTTCGGCTTTCTGCAGCACCTCTGCACAGTGATATGATAGAAAAGTGATGCTGGTTTTCACATCCATAAGTCAACATTTTAAACATGCCCTCAAAAAAGGCTTCATTACATCCACTTCACATTTGGTTGTAATTATTTGCCTGAATGTGTAGTGTTGTCATAGTGAGTGCATTTCTCCAACAATGTCAGTTACATTTGTAGTGATTAGTGTTGGTCCCTTTAGTTTCACCATCGAGTCTGTTCCTATGTTAGATGCTACAGTCTGAACTGTACACAGCCCGTCTCCAGGTTTGTGGAGGTTTTGAGGAGGACCAGATGAGAAATGTCTTGTGCAGCAGAAGGGAAAAGTAAAAGTTTCAATCTCACAGACTGCTGCTGGTTATAGAGTAAAAATGACTTCTGTACAAACTACGCTTTCGAACACAGAGTTTCAACACTCGGGCTCCTCTGTCTTTGATCCCTCTGCGCTCGCTGCCTCAGAGCTGACCACGGGGGCTTTTCTGGGACTTGTTTGGACCCCAATTGAAACTGGAACTGCTTCCACTTTAACTTTCTCCAGAGCGACTCCTGCCCCTCCAATCAGCAGCTCTGAGCCGTTCAGAACACCGCTGATCACTCGTGGCTGATTGGCTGCAGATAACGTGACTACACCAGTCCCGCCCACACCCCCGGCCTGGGACACCATCACGGTCTGCTGCTGCTGCGGGACAGTGAGCCTCATCACCTGGGCGCCCGGGCCCACGTTTACAGGGGCCAGTGTGCGCACCGTGAGGGGGCTGCCCACGAGACTGATGCCCCCTGCAGAGGAGCCCACGCCGGGTTTGGACCCCGAGGTCTGGAGCTGGCACTGTGCCAGCTGATGTGCCGGGATAGTGATGATTTTGGCGAGTTGCACCGTAATTTTGTCTCCATTTTCAGCTGTGGCCGGTACCATGGTCGGGAGGGTTTGGATCACAACCTACAGCATTTGGGACAATTAGCCCTGAAATGTACATGCACTTGAAGAACTTACAACAGTGGTTCTCAAACTTCGCACACCAAGTAGCACCAGATCTAAACACAACTATTTTAGGTCTGAACTAGGGCTAGACCACGTTGAAAAGTACTACACCAATGCTACAGTATTTCTAAACAAGGCCTAACTCAAAGGAAAATCAAATGTAGATAAATACTACAATTTCAAAGGATGCCACGCACTACAGTTTGAGAACCACTGAAGTCCATTATGTAGCTTTACTGTACCTTTTGTTGTGAGTTTGCATTGGGCACAGCACTGATGGGAGAGGTGTTTGTGAGGAGGGTGGTGTGGCCGGCAGTCGTCCCACTCGGCTGCATCGCTACAGTGGAGATCTTCTGCCCCAGAGACGTGGTCATCATCACTGGGACCTGCATAGCTACCCTCACCGCCCTGAAACAATTCATGTTTTTCTAATTATTATTTGGCTTGGTGGAATAGTGCCTGTGGTAAATATCACAAGTATTGTTTAATTTAAGACCCGTTTGGGCCGTTATGGTGCATTATGTTTGCTAGGTAACAGTTATACTTTTTATACCTTGGCCCTGTGGCATTAGTGATGATGGCAGCGTGAGACTGTGGCGTTTTGCTTGAATCCACCATGGCTCCTCTGTGACTAGCTGGTAAGACGGGAGTGCTGCCCCCTGCTGGCTTGTTCACAGCATTGACAGTGATGTTGGACTTGCTGCCTCTCAGGATGTTGGGTTTTGTAGGTGTAGTTGGCTCAGACTTGAGTAGGAGGTTGGGTGGAGGGGGCACGCGCTCATATGACGCAGGTGATTCAGAGCTGATCAGATCCTCCGTCATATCCGCCTTGTTGTCATCAATAATCACAATGTTTTTTGGCATTTCTTTAAATTGATAAACCAAGCGCTGCCCTTCCACTTTGGCAAGAATTCCCCGCTGGTAGTAATATCTGCAAACAAAAACGAATATTAGTTTCCATGTTTTGTTTATCCAAAATACTATTTTAAAACTGAACTACTCTTGGACACCCAACTCTTGAAATAAATTAAAAAATACATGAACAAGGCAAAATGAAGCAGTTCATATTATGCTAAAAAACAAAAGGATAAGGTAAAAGTCAATCAAAATCAGCAATTACATTATAATGTAATGAATCACTGTAGAAGTGTGATGTTTCTCCTCACAATAATGAAATTTGATAATGGCACCAAACCTATCTTCTACTAATAAACTATCTTCATGCTTAATTATATCATCATCAATAATCATAATACAGGAGGTGAAAGCCCCTCACCGCAGAGCCCTGCCCATGGTCTCGTAGTTCATATCAGGTTTGTTCTTATGTTTCCCCCACAGTCTGGATACAGCTTTGGAGTCGACCAGTTTAAAGATGCCCTTTTCCCTCTGGGTCCACTTGATGTATCTGGGACACGTGTTTTTGTCCTGGAGCAGGTCCAATAGAAACTCCCAAAGGTAAGTGGTGGATCCTGCTGAATGTCAACAAGTTAAGCTTATACACAGAAAACAGAAATTTTAATTCTATTGACTCTGTAGTAACACCATCAATACCTCTGCCCTCTCTAGATTTCTTCTTGATGCCGAGATCTGGAGAGTCGGGTGAAAACGGCTTTGGCTTTCTTCCAACTGCAAGAGAAACAGATCATTTTAAAAGATGTTGTTTTCTGGTATTTAGGATAAAATAAAAATATACACACAATATTGATCTACAATGACTGAACGAGAGGAAAAGATCCACTGATTTCCTGTTAAAATTTGTAGAACTGAGATGCAATATTATCACCATCATTGGCTGCAATTCTCCAATTCTCTGACTTCTGAGATCAATAAAATTACATGCAGGCACAAGAAGCGCAGCAGACTAAAAGTTTAATACAAAGTCGGATCATTCCTCCCTGAAGTCAGGGAGAGACAACTCGGGTCCTAAATCAGGTAAAATTATCCTGTAGTGTGTGGGAGCAAAATGGTTAAAAGCTATGGGTCAACATAAGGAATGTTTATGTACAGCTTAACTATTTTAAAATTCCTTACGCTGCCACTAGATGGAGAGCAATAACATAGTGCATCAAAGTGGTGCAGGTTTAGAGTTGAGGTATTTGGTTTTGGAAAACACTTAAGGAGAGCTTTAAATCTGAGAGCTGCTATTTACAAGTTTGTCAACATCTCCCATGAAAACATTCCACTGTCAAGCTAAAACTGAATCCACACTGAAGTGAAGATTGTAGGCCTAAAAATACACTTGGCAAATTTTTAACTCGAACAGTATGTGCTAAAAGGAAGAGCTGTTAATTTGGTTTTATTTTGATTTTGAACATTTGGAGTGAATGCTACAATATTATATGATCATTTTTACCTCTCTTCTTCCTGATTGGCTCATGGTCCGGCTCAGGTTCCTCTATCAAAGTGACCATCTCCTCATCTTCATCATCACAACAGTCTTCTGTCGTAATCTCCACTTCTGTCTCTGCGTACATGTCTGGGCGCATGGCAGCGTGAAGGAAGTCTGCATAGGCATCACAATAAAGGAGTTATATCTATATCACATTTAAAATAACTGCATTTGGCCCACAATTTAACCCTGGAGCCACCATCATATATACTAGCACTAGGTGGAGTAAACCTTCATTCGTCCAGGTGTGCTTCAACCTTCACTACTCTAGGAATTAGGGTTGTCTAATATATTGAAAAGTCAGACACCAAGTAATCCTAAAATTAGTACTAGATACTCAATCAAGCAAGTATTGATACTAAAAAAGTCCCATTCACAGGACAGAAATGAACCTTTCCCGAATAGCTTTAGAATGATCTTGACCTGTATCAGTACAGGTATAAAATCACAAAGACTAGTATACGCCCATGGACGTCTTTGGAATCTACCTGGATAACTGAGGGATGACACAGACAAATGTAGTTTTTCACTGTCATATCGGAATTGAGTATCGAGTCTATTCATTAGTATCGAAGTTGAGTTTGAAATTTTAGTATTGTGACAACCCTACCAGCAATTAAATAAGAAACACATAGATTACATAATAGAAATACAATAGAATAATAGAATAATAGAAACAACAAATAGATATGAAAACTAAAGCAAGTGGCAGATCCTAGAAAGGCGTAGAGCATTTTTCGTCTATTTCATCAATGTGCAATAGTTTACAATTATTGTTACCTGGGCTGCGGTCCTCCCTGAGGCTGGAGGGAGAGTCCATGTGCAGCAGAGCCTCGGCTGCTTCAATGGTTTTGTCTGAGCAGTGGATACTGGAGCCATGGACAGAGGCCTCCACTGGAACAAAACAATCATAAAACACAACTGTCAACTCTACGGGTTTATTATAGAACATGTAGAAGACAATGATTTCAGATTTTCCTTTTATCCTGCCTTCTGAACACTTAGTTATGAGTTTTATTGCACAATTTACCTTTATCTCAGTTTTGTTAACTATAGTAAAATAAGTAATGCAATCTAATAATTAATAATTGATAATTCCCCCCCCCAAAAAAACGCAATTAGCTGCCACTAAATAAGAAAGTTAATTACTACTATATGATTGACAAGAATTTACTGCCTTGAAAAAAAAGATTTTGAAATGCATTAAGCAGCATGTAACACAAGTAAAAAAAATAATGAAACACAATGTAGTGAAAAATCATTTAACTAATGCAGTCTGAAGGCTGAATTAACTACTTACTTGCCAATGAACAGTTAATTAGCAACATTTATACCTTGCAAGACAGTAAAAATAGTAGCTTTTTGAAATCATCACTTTGTAAAGTAAAACTGTTTGTGTTTGTTGAATGTTAGAGTAACAATAATAGGGGAAGACGCACATGACAATTGATAATGCTAAGCCAAATAAAAAGTGCTAAACGTTCCTGAGAAGAAAACTGGGGGCACCTGCTGCCGCTGTCAGTCACTGGTGGGAAACTCGAGTGCTCTGCCCATGTTTGGCTATCACACTGAGGCAAGAGGCAGTGCAGAGGTGAGAAAAGACCTATCTTTAGCTTATCCCACAAGCACAGTCCCTTATACAAACAAATGGGTAAGATTGAGGCTACTGTATATGCCAATGTTTACATCGAATGACCAGCTATTTGGCAAATCAATATAACATAGATTTAACGCAAGAAACCATTCACATAAGAGGAAACAAAACAATTACACCTACAGACAGCATTACTGATTTCTGTCCACAAACTATAGCAAATTGGGCTTTAGTAACACAGTTTTTCAACATTTTATACATGTATTTATTTATTTATTTTTTCTTAAGTTTTATGTATGCATCAGATTGTATAAGGACCAAGAATAGCAGCGAGTCCGACAAAAAGTAGTGCAGCCGCTGATGACTTCCGTGTTTACACTCCATCTTTTCCCTCCACTTCTCTTCGAAGAATCGCACCAGCCTGTCCGTCAATCAACGCCCTCCTCGCCCGTGATTGGCTACTCCAGAATCTACCGACCCGCCCAGTCAGGAAAATGATTGGACAGGTGCCGACGTCAAATTATGCTATAATCCCATTGGGCAAATGTTACTGTCAATCAAAACTTTACCCCGCCCTCTCACATTTACAACGCTTCCGCCATCGAAATGGGACAAAAATACTTTAAAAATAGCTATTTCAAACACGTACAAATAACACAATCCAACAAAAAACGAGTACTAAGAAATGTAAGTGTTAAGGATTCACGAATCAACTGGTAGTCTTGTATGTATCTAAAGAAATAGTCGAAGTATTATTTAAAAGGAAGAAAGGCAGTGTGCTTGGGCAGGCCATCCCACGCTGTAGGAAAAGGAGCACAACAGTACAACAGCGGAAGTAATATTAAATACAACGAATCTGAACGCCCACGTTGTAACTACTACGTTTCTAATACAGTTTAAAACATTTCTAATATACCTGTATATCTATCTTGCCATAATATTTTGGGATATTTATTTATTTGTATGTGTAATGGATAGCTTGCAATGCTTTTTACATAAGACCAAGACCGCTAGATCAAGCCGAACGAATTGGATCTCTTTTTATTAGTAAAAGCAAATCCAATTTCTTCTTTCTTCATAGCAAAAATAAATCCACATGTCCTTGCGACCCAGACAGCGTGGCAAAGACGTAGGAAAGACAACATCCCTGCACTTCCTGGTTTTGCAGAACCCATCCGCACAGTTATTCCGCATGGCCACGCAACACAATACATCTGCAAAATCATGCAAAATCTGTCCAGTGCAGAATACAATAATTTCACAATCAGATGCCATCCTAACTATTGCTTTTTCGTCTCGTAAAGCTTGCACTAAAACCCGTGTAGCAACGCCATGCAGGTTGCTACCAAGGTGATTACTTCCTGATTGCCCTCCATTGCTTCACTACGGTGCTGAGCGGACCGACACATAGCGGCGAGTTACAAAAATACACCGCGTATCGACATGAAGCCGCTATAACAATATTTAAATCTATTACGCTACATTACCGGCTCTGATGAGTAGATCGAGTTGATTTGCTTGCCCCTCATGCTGCGAAGTCGCCATGTTTCTCCCTTGCTGCAGATTCACACTAGTTCTCACTGAATTGTATGGGAAGCTAATAGCGCGTATCCCTCCGCCGCTAATGGAAATCTCAATTGACTTCAGCGGGCCGCGTCACAGAGACACAGCTATCCCTCCGCCGCCGACACAGGAAATAACCCTCCCTGTGCGTGGCTTACGTGCAAAGAACCCAAATAGCAGAATAATATAATTTCACACTTTGCTTTAACTTTTTTGTTTTTGTGAAAGGAGAGCCACTGACACTGCAAGCAGTCAATTACTAGGTGTTACTTGAAGAAAGGCTTTACAGTTATGCAACAATTAAGCAATTATTTCACGCAAGAAACCCTAATTATGTCCAAAAAGTATGCAGTTATCTTGTTAATGTTTCCCGTTAATAAATGAGACTGTGGCGGCTCCCCATAAGCTGAGCAAAAGAAATGTGATAAAAACATACTTTTTGTTATCATAAACAAAAACGGGGAGCTTTATTTAATCTTCTAAAATGTCATTTTCTGGTTAGTTAAGGCAATACGTGACATTTATTCAAACATTGTATTTGATTAAATAATTCAAATAAGAACTGCCTGTGCCACATAATTTCCTGTGGAAAACACTGAAATGTCCAGCAAGATTAATGGATCATTTGTAAGCCATATATATTATATATATATATATATATATATATATATATATATATATATATATATATATATATATATATATATATATATATATATATATATATATATATATAAAGTGGCCAGTGCTAGACATTTCTGACAGCATTATAAACGTATTTTAAACAATCATACCCATTTGCCAATACATTTCTCTTATTCACCAAACACAACCCCAGATTACACAAAGGTCATTATTAGAAAAAGATTAATGTACAATTAGTGCCTGATAAAAAATACTGAATCACTCTGTAATTGAGATTAAACTTCAGAAACTCTCCACGAGGGGGCAGTATGTGACAAAAACAAATATCTATCAGAGCCTGCCTTATGTCATGAGACCTGAGGCATCCAAATTTGTGGCCAATAAAATATTAGGCACATTGTGTGACAATGTGCCGTTGTATGTGTGTGTGTGTGTGTGTGTTTTATGTTTTAATATGTGATAAGCATAAGATTCTGCAGTTGTGCAGCCATCTATTGGAGGTGCCAACAGCTGCACGAAGATGTGATAACTTTTACAGCAACATGGCTTTTTCAGCTCCCAGTGGGCACTGCAATTTTCTAACACAGTAGTCAGGGGACTTGTTTCTTTTATCAAGTTAATAGATAATGATCTTCTTTCCATCCTGCTTTGTGCATCAGCTAGAAAAGCAGTTTTAAAGTTATACATGCACACTCCAAAAACATGCACATGAATACTAGGATTGTACCAAAGGGTTTGTGAGAGCTGGAGGGTAACAGTATAAAAAATGTACTTCATCCTTTTAAAAAGTAGATAACCCCGAGTTAATATTTTCTTTCCTTTTTTCACTTAAAGCAGCCGTGCCTAATAGCCCAATACTAGAATTAATGTAAAGTAATGAAGATTACATGGCCACCAAATGTTTACAGCCTTACCTGTCTCTTCTTGTGGCTGCACTTCCTGCTCCTCTGAGGTCTCCTGGATCATGTAGGTCTGTCCATCGCACACAAATACCTGACCGGACTGTCCCAGGCTCCCCACACTGACCCCAGGGTCCTCCTCCACCACAATGACCTCTGGGTAATCCTCCTCATCCTCACATGCTCCCTCTTCTTCCTCTAGCTCAATCTCCACCTCACACTCTCCATCCTGCACAAAACAGATAAGCATTCAAGATCACCTTTTAAAGTGCATATGACAGGTTTTCATGTTTTATCACTTAATTTCGTGGGATAGTACCTGTATGCGGTAAATATTTGTTATGGTTTTGCACCAGTCAATTGGCAGTTTGAGAAGAAAAGTTAATAAACTTTATTAAAAGCGCTCTCTCTATAATTCTATTCCATCAATACAAATAATCCCACCCAAAATGCAGATACAATTTAGGCACAAAGTCCAACATTTTGTAAGATTAATTTGGCAAAATAAAGGTGTTATATATATGTAGTTATCAAATTATAACAACTGTGTGAGACAAGCTTTAGCTCTTATTGACAGTGTGGTTGCTAGGTAACAATTATGATATCTGCTGCCCGTGTCCAACCAGGAAGTAAAATTATAATTATCTACCCCTTATACTTCTAATGTAAATCATAATGTCAAGTCATAAGAGTGTGTGGTGTGAGAGTGGGTGAGCACCTGTTGAGGTTCTTCTTCTGCCGTTACATACTCCACCACAGTCCCTCCAGACTCCACCAGCACCACGGAGGTCATCCCTCACGAGCTGTGCATCTGACAAGAGCACCCCACCCTCTGTGCGCTCTAGCCCTGCACAAAGACACAACATAATCATCAGTCTGTATTAAAAACAATACTTCGGCATGTGAGGATTTAATGGACACATCATGATTAATCTTTGCATTGAGAAATATCTACATTACATTCCACAGGACATATAAAAGAAAGTGTAATCTAGGGCCAATTACAAAGCCTACAAGCGCACTACAGAGAAAGTGGGATAGTCAGTTAGTTGCCGTCCTAGTGTTATCCCAAATATTCGTTTTCAAAGTCTCCCTTTTGGTCTCAGCCAACAGGAAGTAGGTTGAGCAGGAAGCACTTGATGCAACAGGAAGACAGTTCATTCCATGCACCACAATCACACACAGGGCTGCAAAATATGAGACTAAAATGTGTAAATATATACAACAAATGATACTGCAATGAAATAGATATGAAAAGTGAGAGGATCACTGAAGTGTTAATTTTGGAAATATTAAATCATCCTTTGATTTGCTGATTTATCATTCTTGGCTTAGTGATCCTGCAATATTTTTATTTATTTATTTATTTATTTATTTTTATATTTACCAATTTTGCAACAGTTGGTGTAAACTAAATCTACATGTTCCACTCCACAAGAACATAATGTGACAAACTATAAATGAATCACTATTAAATACTAAAATATGGCTAATTAAATAACCAATCACACTCAAACACAAACTTTTCCCCACTTACTCCTGTTGGTCAGCCTTTGTAAGGCTCTGAGTGGGTGACACGTACATTGAACCAATCTCAGAGACGTTGAACTTTCAGAAGAAGCAGATAATTGAATTTACCCTTTAAAAGCATTATATTGGAGCCATATTGCCTCTCCATTGCTCCTGCCACTGTATGGCGCTACTTATGATGTGTTATGTAAATTACCTGCCCTTTGTAAGGGCGGATAATGCATAATTGGTGTAGAGCCTGAAGAACTGGATTTTTTGTATTTGTGAAAGGCAAAAAGCGAGCCAATAAATTTGTAGAACACACAGATTTCTGGACTCTTTTTGTGGAAGACATCTGAGATATCACACATGCTTGCAGCCATAGTGGACCTTGCACAGAGCAAGTTCGGATGCAAAAGCTATTGAAAAATATAAAGAGTACATGATTCATGAGAGTATGAGAGTGAGAGAGTGAGAGAGAGTGAGAGAGAGTGAGAGAAATTTTGATCCTGAGGGAAATTCAAATTTTTTGCTGCAGCAAATTGTCTCCTCTGCAAGTCTCAGTGGCCTTTGTGTCTCAGTTAAAAGGTCTCAGTTTAACAGGACTGGTCAGGTAGGGTCAGTATATCCTGTGGAAGAGCAAAATATGTCCCTCCTCTGTGTCCTGCAGCATCACAGCAGTGTACAGGGGGAACTAGGTGAATGGTTGGTGATGAAATGGTTCATTCCCTCAAAGTGATTCCTATGAAAGATCACCTGCTACATTTGTTGCCACATATTGTGTAAAAAGGTCTGGAGCAGCTCAACTCACCCACCAAAGCAATCATTTTAGAGGTCCACATCTACATTGAAGGCAATTCTGTACCAGTGGTCAAATGAACAACTCATGTACTTTAGGTGGTGGTCACCCAAACAAAATATTGGCCTGTGCTGGATGTTTTGGACAGATAGCTGCTATGCTGAAAAACTAGATGTAACAAAATATCACTTTAATGACATTAAAATGTCTTCATCTTGTGTACTACTGTAACAAAACCTCTATTTAGTTTTTCAGACACCCATCCAGCCTCCCTCACTAACACTGAAACAAGTTTGTTTTGTTTTTTTTGTATTTTTGCACCTTTATATGGCGAGCAGACCATTGCACACATCATAATCATAAAATTACGCAGTGATTTTATCTGGTAGCATAGATAACACTCACAGGGATTGATTCAAAGTCACTTTACAATTTAGTGTATTATTCATTCAAGTTACTATTGTAGCTATAGCGGCCCTGATAGAATCCAACCACCTCTCAGCTCTCACATGCCACATTCATATAGGCAATGTGGTTGAAGTGCTTATCTACAGTACCTAAGGACACAACAGTTTTTGCCATTGGTGTTCTACTTCTATCCAAGTGCTAACCAGGCCCGGTCCTGCTTTACTTTTGAGATCTGACAAGATCTTCCTTTGATGGAGAGGTTTGGCCACACTAAATAAAGAGCATGCACTACTAGCACGAGAATGCAGAGGGGTGTGTTCAAAGACCATATTATGATATGTCCAGACAAAAGAGAAATAAAAACAATGAAAAATAAGTTCAGTTTAATCAATTACACATTTTTTCATATAAATGTGAGAGTCAAACAAAAGTCAGTAGTCAACTATGACATCATTTGTAGGAGCGGTTGAGATTTTAGCAATACTTAAATTATGACATGGTTGGGAAATACCCAGAGCTGGATTCACAGGTTAACTTCTGTTCCTATTTCATTCCATGAAAACCCAAGCAGCATTCACTGGGTTAGAGTTGGTTCAAACAGGTAAGACAGGACCTGCCAGTTTGTGCAACCATGTGCTCTATGCCCATATACTATATACTGGCATTGTTCTGCAGAAATAGCTCAATTTGTTATTTATATGTTAAAAAAAAAATACATAAAAGGAAAAGATCCATAACACTGTATCAAAATAATTAAATACCACTATAAAAATACTTTAAAAAAACCCCCAAAAAACTAACTAAAAGTGAATAAATAAAAGCATAGGGAACAGTAGTAAAATATGAATAAAATAAGTTCAGTTTCCTATAATTAATACATTCTTAAATGACAACAGCAACCCTTAATTGTGATTTTACCCAAAGGAATAAATGAACTGCCCATTCTCTACTGTATCTTTAAGTGGACACATTAGTCATGTCTTGAAGCGCTGTTGTTTTGTTGGCAGCCTATAAATGCACTATGAATCAGCAGAAATGATTAACCAGGTATTAAACTTCAAAAATATATTACAAAAGAAAACTAGCTTTGTAATGCTCATCTTACCACTTGTAACATCATGGAGACACATCTTCACTTGTTGACTTTTTAAATCCACAATGATCAAAAGAGAACAACTACAGTTTCCTTGTGTAAGTCTTTTTCTCCACTTTCCAAACATGTTTTCATCTCGCCATCCGCTCTGTTGTCTTGTCTTTGCATCTTTAGCCCTCATATTCCCCTGACTGTCTGCTCTGAGCAACTCAGCACTACTGAGCTCCTGTCCTGGTTTGTGGTCACATGACAAGGGTGGAACACACGCAGTCACATGATCTCTCTTTCAACAACAAGGCCTTTGTCCCAAGTAACTGGCACCACCACCATGGCTGCTGCTGCTGCTGGGGGGAAAAAACACAACGCCCTGCCTTGTGCCACCCTTCCCACCTCAAAGGAAGAGAGGGGAGAGAGAAAGAGAGAGAGAGAGAGAGAGAGAGAGAGAAAAGAGAGAGAGAGAGAAAGAGAGAAAGAGAGAGAAGAGAGAGAGAGAGAGAGAGAGAGAGAGAGAGAGAGAGTGTAAGAAACAGAGAGGAATGGATCAAGCAGGGAAGTATAAGCAAAAATGACTCCAGGATATCCCTGAGCCATCCAGGCATGATCCATAACAAAAGAAAAAGTTGACAGAATAGATTTTTTCTTTTGCTATCTCAGGATTTGCACAATGAGCTGGGGTTGTAAAAAAAAAAAAAAAAAAAAAAAAAAAATCAACCACTCTGGGGGTTTTCCACTGACGATGCAGATATCATCAGTCTTCCTAAAAAATCAACTAATGCTGGAGGTTTTAGGCTGACAGACAAACAGATAAATGGCAGATTATTTGCAGCTAGCTATCACTGGAAAAAAATTTATTATGCAGTAAGAATGTTATGTTGCAATATTGTCTAAAATGTCCAGTCTTTAAAATAAATGTATCTTTAAACTAAAGATAAAAACACTGAAAGGAAAAAAGGCATAGGCAATAGCAGGAGGTCGGCACTGTAGCAATTACGCCACTAATTTCAGACCACTATTTCCTTAGAACCTAGAACATGATTTGATTTATATCACAATACATGTAAACACCTAATCATATTGCTTTAAAGCTAAAGCTCTTTGCTTCTGAAAGTCCATACTTCACTATGATTGGTTAAGTCCACCTGTCACTCACTCAGAGATGGGCACAGGCTGACCATGGGGCTCACCAAGTGTGGGGAATTAGTATTTGAGAGCATCATGTTTTTCCATTGCCCCCACGTCAGTACAGATTTTTAAAATACAGTTAATTAGAATAGGTTTTGGTTCATTTAAAATATGAACTCTAAAGAACCTTTACACCTCGAATAAGAAACCACACATTGACAGAGTGGGGACAAAATAGAAATTACAGAGCTCAGCGAGAGGCAGAAGTTCAATCATTAACCACAACACAGCAGAGCCCACAACTCAGTCAACAACTGCAATGATTCATTTTGTATCAAATACAAACATGTGAACAGGAAACAACTCAACTCTATCTTTGGCAGTATAGTTTTCTTTATGATGGTATGTTGAATTAGTTTTCTGTTGTGCATTAAACCACTAAATCTGAAAGTATCATTGGTTTGCTGTAAAGTTCTGGTATTTGTGTGTAAAATATTATCTCTTCAATGTTTCTCTGATTACTGGACATGGTCCCTGTAAAATAAACTAAATTAACAAAATATAGAGTCCAACCTATATTGATATAAGACAAAGAAAATTGTTTGCAAGAAGTTGAAAAACTAACTAAAAATGCAGTATGTATGTTCAAGTCAAGAGCGACTCTCATGTGGGGATGTTACCCAAATCTCAGGGTACAACAGTATACAGTATTGTACAGTGTGATGTAATAATGATATTTTAAGAAAGAAAGTGAAGATGTGATATTTTTTTCACAAATAATAAATAAATAATAATAATAAAATAAGGCATATCTTATCTTATCTTAAATGTCAAAAACATTTACTAATTTCATCTGTTGGGACTCAAAATACAAAAGTCTACTGACAACAAGAAGTCCACGGAATCATTGACCTACTTATTACCACCTGTTGCCCTTACATAGAAGTAGGAGCCCATTAATTGCATAGAATCCTGACATCAATCTTTAACTTGTGGTTTTAACCAGAAACACACATTAAAGGTGTGTCTGATTTCACAGTAGGCGGTCTGCCCTGTTTACATTTTCTCACAACAGGAGAGCATTCATATTATGTCAGATATGCACAACGTTACAGAAGTAGCAGCAGCAGCAGCAGCAGCCAGGAGTGTTCAATGATACCTTTGCTCCTCGGTGTAGCTAACCTTATCAATGAATTATTAGCCTGCTCTCTCATTTATATAGAACCATACAACGCTAGGGCGGTTCGGCTAGAAACAAACTAATTATAAAAAGACAGCATGTGATAAAAAAAACAAAACAAACAACAAAAAACACTATCAATAGTTTGACCAGGGAGCATTGACATAAACTTGGCTAACAACATTAGCATAAGGTGTTAGCATAAAAACTAACCTCAACAAACACGCGGCTAAAGCGCCCGAGCTTCAGTTCACTCACCGTTTCTTTATGTTTTTCCTTTAGATCAGCAACTTGTATGGAAACTTGGAGTTGGCCCGTGTGCTAATGAAGTGTCTGTTTATGTCAGACCCTCCTCCTCCTTCCTTCGCTGTGGAGAGCTCCGTGTCCCCACCTCCACCGCGGCTCTCCAGCTCCAGAGACTACTACTACTACACCAGGTCTACGGGCTCTAAATGCTACAGCTGGCGATCTGGGCTCAGGGGCAATGCCAAGGACATTCAGGCATCTCTATTAGCGGCAAGGGTCAAGCATTTGAGCCCGGGGCAGGCTGATTTTGGTCTCGTTAATGGACGAAGCCTGTTGTTGTCATTTTTTTCTCTGCGCTTGTTCGGCAAATTACCCCCATGACGTCATCGCGTACAATAAACACTAGACACGCAACATCCAAAAAGGACAAACTGGATGAAGTTCATGGTCAAAGTGAGTAATTACTTTCTCACATTTCACTTTCTCTCTATGATTCCCACATACAATTATAGCATGCCTTTTCTATAAAAAAATATAAGATAGCCCCCTATGTAGGAGAAAGCAATATGACAACAATAAAATTAAGATTTCTTGGAGACAGATCATAAAACTTCTTACTCTTCATTTTTGCTGTTTTTAAGGGGTAAATAAAATCATCTGCTTGTTCTGAAGCTTACACTTTACAGAGACTGGCTGATTCCAGCTGTCGCTCAGGCTAACCAGCTGGAGAAGTGGCCACCCAAAAACGTCTGTTTGAGTTGAAAGCTGCGTTAAATAGAGTAAGTTCAATAAATTCAGCAGTTGAAAAATATTACACCAGTGCCACCTATGGGCAGCATGATGTGACTGACTACAGATCACCTTTGGTTATATTAGACATATTAGTTACTGTAATAGTAAAAAAAAACAACAACTGTAATATACATTAGCATCACAGCATCACAAAATTACTATTTGTTGCACATTATACTGTTATTAACATTTAAAAAGGGACTGCTTAAAGTTAAGTTTATTTGCCATTTGTAGTTAAAAACACACACACCATGAGACATTAAAAACAACTACATAAAAACTATAGACAATCATTATTACAGACAATATATGACACTGTGAAATAAACAAGATACAAAGATTAAGGAGCTAAAATATTAAGGTGCTACATCAAAGTTCAAAGTGCATTGTTCAAGCTTATGGAAAGAAGGTTTTAGCAAGGCTAGAAGTCTTAGATTAAATACAGTATATGATTAGCAACATTTATGTCTTATTCCACAATTTATGTGACTTTATTGATATGAAAATGGTTTGTGCAACCACTGGAAAAATGTTTGATTTTACACATCATTCTTATCTTGCCCTCCATGCATCAACTCCCTAACTCTCACTCAGAATTCCTGTCTCTGCTCTAGGATCTGAAATAAGATGTGATTAAGGAGGACGGATTTTATACTGGCTAAATATCAGAATATTTGTATATTATCAAATAAAGTAATTTTGGGGAGAAAATAAGGCTCCATAGTTTGGATTTAATTTATTCACATTCAGTCAGAGACCCCTATCAAACCATCATCCAATGTACCACCCTGGTCCTATAAGAAAGGCCATACAGCAGTTCTATATAATTTAATTAGATCTGAAAAACATCTGTATTCCACTTCCACTTTCTACAATATTACTGCTCAACTGACGCAGCTGGACAAACTACAACAGTGACTGTAAATTCATTTTCCTATTGCTCCCTCTGCAGGTGTCAGTCATTACTGCTACTCTGCCAGTGCTACTTTATCTGAATTATCATAAGAAAGCTGCCCATAAAACACACATAAAATTATATAAAATGTAAAATATACAAGTTGATCTTTATAAATTCACAGGAGCATGAACTTACAAGATAAGTATTAGGTAAAGAAACGGGACCACAAGCCATTGCTATTTGATTATTCTTACATATGCACCGCAGTGTGTTTGTAAAATGACATACTACAAATTTATCATCCAGTAATTTTATTGTTATTTAAAGCATTAATATTATTCTTCATCATGACAGACTGAGATGCCCAGACATCCATGTGATTCAATTGTGATAAGGTGTAACTGAAAAGGAACATCTGTCAAACAGCAGTGTACAGTGAAAATAAATTTGAATAGTGTCTCAAGCTGGAAGACTGAAAACAACAGATTTTGTGTGATGTTAATAACTGTTTCAACAACAGACAGTATTGTCAAAACAAAACAGACTAAAATAAAATCAATAAAACAAGTTTCCACACTGGTCATTCCTATGCTGAATTATTCTGAACTGTCTGATGGATTTAGTTCAAGGGCACTTAAACACATTTTAAACATTACAGAGTCCTCCGCATTTCTCTCTTTCCCTTGCAGTTCCACAATACTTTAACTGTACAACAAACCAGAAAAAACCTGGCTCATGAAATCACTCAATAATGCCAATGCAATGATTTTAAAGGAAGGGGGTAAAATGGAAAGCACAAGACATATGGACTCAGGAACCACTTTGTGATTTTATAGTTGGTAGCCATACTATTTACTTTGTTTATTGTTTCCCTATTAAGATATTATCAGAGAACCTTTACTTGCCTTTACATGTTTGGGAAAATTCAGTGGTTCAAAGTGCATTTTCTTGGCTTTTTAGGTATGGACCACACCTCTCCACCTCTATGGTACATTAAGGACACAGGGGTAAAACACAGGAAGCACAAAAATGAATTGACAAGACCAGAAGCTATTTATAAGCATATGACAGCAGTTAGAGGTGGGTTTGAGGTGTGGTCCTGCTCTCAAAACTTCAGAATAACTAACTAACATTCAAACCATCTCAGTTCTATGCAGCCACATCTGCAGCTGGGGCAGCATTAGGAGCGGGGGCTTCTTCTACTGTGGCAGCGCTCTCAACGGCCGGAGTCTCCACAGCGACTTCAACTGGAGCAGCCTCCTCAACTACTGCTGCTGCCTCTGTCACCACCACCTCTGCAGCAACTGGAGCTGGGTCCTCTGCTGCCGGGGCAACGACCTCAGCTGCCACCTCAGCAACAACCTCAGGCACAGGCACAGTTTCAGCAGTTGCCTCGACAACAGGTTCAGCCGCTGTCTCTGCCACTGGTTCGGCCACTGCTTCTACTGGTGGTGCCTCTGCCACAGGCTCTGGAGCAGGTTCTGTTGGGGCAGGTTCTGTTGGTGTGGATTCGGCGGGTGCAGCCTCAGGGGCAGCAGCTTCTGTGGGTGCAGGCTCCGATGCGGCGGGTTCAGCGGGGGCGGGCTCAGGTGCTGCCTCGACCACTGGGGCAGGTTCAGGTTCAGCAGCTGGGGGCGCTACTTCTGGGGCCGCCTCTGGAGCTGCACAAATAAAACAATATGTTTTCAGATTCAAGAATGTGATGACATCACTCATAAATGGACAAAGATCATTTTCAAAGTCAGCTTTTTGTATTCATGAATTTGAAGCTACCAGTTGTATGCAACATTTTTGAGGTATTTTTTCCCATTCAAAAGTTATAATATTTTATATTAAATTGTTTATGGCTATAGTGATGGTTGTAATTTTTAATTTTGAGCTTGGGATAGTTATCACACATCATCAGAACTTTTCAGTTAGCCTAATATTAAACCAATGGAGATTTTAGGATGCTCAAATACTAAACATGATGTTCAATCAGAAGCATTCTGATTGAATTTACGAGTACCTATCTCTAAGAACGTTTTGAACTGTGATGATGAATTTAGTCAATAATAGTTGCAATAGAGGTTTCATTCCAAGCTCTGTAATGTGAATGTTAGTATGTGCTACTGTAGAAAATAACCTTTGTGAAACTCTAGTGAAAATCACAAGACTCAGCTTTACCAATACAACAAAAAATTACAGCTAGCCCAACTTATCAACTTAACAAATCAGAAACTAATATTCACTGGAAGCAGTATGTTTGGGTGTGGATCCAGGGCTCATTCAGACTGAATAGACAGATCAGTCAGTAGCAGAAATCTGAACAGACAGCCCAGAGTCAGCTATTGAGAGTGACCACTCGACCATGTTTGATATTTTGATTCGTGGTTTTGGGTGTAAAAGCACAAAAAAGCAGCCATTGTTCAAAAAATATTAAGCATTTATTTGATGTTTGAAAAATACTTTACTTACTTTTATAAACAACTGAATAATGTTTTAGTTTTAAAGGACTTTTGAACTAACCTTTTGCTGGTGCTGTATTCTCCTCGCCATTCACTGCCTTGTATGCCTGCAAAAGTCAAAGATATGCTCTTTAGCATTCTGTCACACATTTAGTGATAGCAGAATAAAATGGAGAACTCTGTTACAACACTAAAACAAACTTTACTTTGTCCTGCACAAAACAGATGATAAACTGCACAGTTCAGTGCTCCAATACAGACAGTTTTGGTGACGGTTTTAAAGTGATGTTTTCTAAACAAGATTTACTGACATAGACGGCAGCAGCAGTGAGGCCTCCTCCACACAGGACGATGTACGCCAGGTTAGTGGATCCACCGGGAATCCCAAAGGCCATGTGTCGAACTGGAGCTATAGACAAAAACACACAAAAAACAAAATCTGTTTCCAACTCCTGATCTGATTTCCCAAAAGATCTTGTGACATTAAGAGAACTAAACTCTGAGACTGGATGATGTACATATAACAAAAAAATAAATATGACATGATTTTTATTCCTTACATAAATTAATTACAATGCTTGCTTTTTATCAGATTTAACTCAATATAAAGTACCTCTACATAAAAATAATTATGAATACGTCTTCCTCCAAAGTCTGAACTCTGTTCCAAACCAGATTTTAGTGACTTAGAGGTTGTAGACACTAGAGCTCATAAATAACCATTCTGAAGGATTCATTTAAGTTTTGTTGCATGTAGAGAGACTTTACATGTGTTTAAAGTTGAGCCGATAAATAAAATCAGATCCTCCAAATCCTTGTAATCTCTTTTATACTGCACTCATGACTAGATCAGGTCCAGACAATGTCAGCACAGTGATATCTTTAGCATGTGCATGTAGTGTATGGCATTTGTGATAAAGTTATCTAAAAGGTGTGCTTCTCTTCCCCCCACTATGATGTATAGTAGGGCAAATATACTATTGCTGGGCAAAGTAACCTTTCCACCAATCTGACATGTAATAAATTGGGCTGATGACAATGTCGCTTGCTTATCTTCTTGCCATGAAGATAGACAAGTTTAATGCCATACTGTGGAACTTTGGTCAACCTGAGTGGTACCATGATGAGTTGCATATTTACAATGCAGAAAATTCAAATCTGGCTTCTTGCTAAAAAGCACTCTGAAGACTGTGTAACAAAATAACTGTATGAAGTCTTCTGAGATGAAATAGTCATGTCCTATAAGTGTTTATTAAGCATTTACTGATTTTCATTGTAGGATCCTTTTTTGGATCTACACCTGAGCCTGATCACCCATGACACAGCAGCATGAGTTGTCCAAATCCAGTTTATTTATACAGCAATCAGCTAATCCCTTAAAGTCAGATCACAACATGGCTGCAGTGAAGGAGTGAGAGAGAGAGCACGTGTGGCCGATGTGCACGTGTGTTAATGCAGTGTCTCTGCTACTGTCTGTCAGCTGCCTGCCCTATTGAAGTATATAGTACAAAGTTCAAGTACAAAATACATACTGTACAGGTTATAGAGGAGGTCACGTGTAACTCTAATGTTGCATTTGAGTGGTTGTCATGAAGGGGTGGTGTCTATTATCCTATATAATGCACATATAAGGCAGACAGAAGGTGACTAAATACATGAGCTCTCACTTGCACTTCAAGAGTAATAATATCACACTTCAAGGTCTATAAAAGTTAAAGTAAAATCGTTTATGGAGAAACTATTGAAAACTTTAGCCTGACTTTTAAAAAGAGGATGGCGCTGCGCACTCCAGCTGAATACCACATGGTCAAAATCAAAAAATCGAAAAAGTGTTGAAACTAACACTGAAGTGGAAGAGATATGCAGTAATAACCTTTGCAAGGTGTAGCCTACTTCATGGACCTATACAAATACAGCCAACATTCCCCGGATATGTAGCCTAATAATACAATGCGCACATAATTAAATTATAAGAAATTATAAGAAATTAGGTGAAGCAACAATATTCATGCGTAAATCTTGCCAAAATGAGAATACTGTAATGGAAATCAAATAAACTTGGCGGATGCTTCTCTCGCAGCAGAGGACTTTGTGTGCAGAACTGGATGTTCCCAAAGAGGGACACGCCCCCTCCTCCTCGTGCGATTCCACTGTGCACAATTAAACTATTAGGAGGATACACTGCTAATAAACAACGACCAATTTAGACACGTAGAGTTAATTTAGCAATAGAAAGCATGTGCAATGATTCTAATTGTAAATGTAGGCAATATGAAAGATTCTTGGGAAACGCATTTAAACGGTGTCTGAAAGGAAAGAAAAGCAAAAGTCGTATAGAAAGAAGCAGGTTTCGAGTCAAACATCAACCAGTCAATGAGTCCTTTACAAAAGTCAGTAAAGAATCACAAAAGAGCACGTTGCATTGTTGCTGGACAAAACTCACTGGTACTGGTCGTAGGTCTGAGAGCGCACCGTGCCAGCGGCCCCACTCTCTGCCAAGCCCGTCTGCAGAACATCTTTCTCGAGTACCAACAGCAGCGGTGATCGGTGCGTTTTCCGCAGCTTTCTGGGATAAATGGCACACTCTGCTCCACGGACTTTAAATGCTGATTAACATGGGAACGGCCCCCTTCAATGTGTTACTCATGCACGCCCTCTAACGGTGACAGAGTGGAATAACAGTAGCCAATGTTACAAGGGCAAATTCAAGTTTTACATAGAAAAGGTTAATCACTTACATTATTTGCTTGGTTGAAAGTTAATCAGCCCTAACCATTTGTAAAAGGACCAAAAAACTAGGACCAAACCAGGACTAGTGTGAACAGGGTGATCAGATTTTCAACATTAAAAACCTGGACACCCCCGAGTTGGGGTGGTTGGTTATAATAAAACTGTGAAAAGTGTGTGTAATTAAGACATTGTTAATCAGTATATAACTCAGTCATTGCAACTGAGTGAACTTTTTGGCCTCCTGGCAATTTCCAAACATAGTTTCTATATTTAAACAAAAACATTTGACAATATATTACCTTTAAGTATCAAATTGTTCAAAAATAGGGACCCTTGGCACAATTTTTTTGTATAAAACTGGGACACGGAACACAGGGCTCAAAACTGGGACTGTCCCAGGTAAACAGGGACATCTGGTCATCGTAAGTCTGGATTCACAAAGATGACAGAAAATATCAATGTATAGTCTATGTCACTGAACTGAGCCACAGATTTTACCCACGTGATGTTCATTCACACTAGCTTAGTCACAGACCATTTTATATGTTGCATAATGTGAGATGTGGAAAAATCAAAGGAATGCTTATCAAAACCACACTGATGGCAGAGGTTTTGTCCTGACTACACTTCTGACTTGGGCATTCCTAGATCCTGTTCCAGCTCTTCAACAGTATTATATTTATTTTTAATTTAAAAACTTCCTCCACTCCTCGAGATTAAAGACATGTAACGTTTAGCTGCAAAATGTGGCACTAAAGTGACACAAAAGTCTGACTAAACAACCACTCACCGTTGGTGAGCCTGTAGATTAGAGCTTGAATTTTTTTTTTCCTATAACAAATAGGCTATGTACCATATTATAGGGTGCTCGCATTTCTTTGTTCTTAAGTTTCTAAAATGTAATCATATTTATCTTTGCTTTATATCATTGCATTAATGTTGTATTTGATGGAATAAAAGTATTGTGCCCTTAAATAGACATCAAACCATAACATTGTGATATTACTTATGCAACTGCTTTGTTCTCACCACAGCCTCTTAATCACAGATATACAATGACTTTACATGATTCTTTTTGTTAGCACTTCTCCCACACACTGTTCACACAAGAGCTGACTATGGCTCTATGAACACATAACTGTAACAGCAGCCTGAGAAAGATAAGGCTCAATAGAAGAGTACAGTGAAGGGCATGGTGTAATGTGGTTTAGTGATGATGTAATGGAGGTTTTGTCTGACAACAGGAAACATTTGTTAACCAGCTTTAACTATGAAGACAGTATACATTTCAATGAGAGGATTTCTTCTATTGTTTTTCTGTAATGGAGAATACATTTTAGGAATAAAATAAGCACACTGAAGTTATTAGAAAATACATGTCATTTATTATTTATTTATTTTTTATTTTTTTTACAAAAATTATACCATTTAATTTTTTATTCATTATTGGCTCTGTCATCCTTACATTTTACACTATTCATGAAGGTATCCATATGAATCTCCATAATCTATAATGAGTCCAATCCTTTACGTTCACATAATTTTACAGCTATAAGATTGAAAACTTCTTAGCAGCAACTCCAGCTTTCCTTTTCTGCTCCTTTTTTACTTGTTACTTTAAACGAACCATTGCACACAGAAATATTATTAATAGTTGTGTGTCTTTTGAGTTTACCGGCCACAGTGAGTACAATGTCTTCAATCTGGTCCTGTTTAAATGGCACCTCTCCTTCCTTCTGCAACATCTTCGAAAGTTTGTTTGGTGACATTTTGGCTGAAGTTTCAAAAAACATCATTCCATGGGACTTGGCAAAATTCATAGCCTTCTGTTGGTTCACCTGTTGGTTTGCTCTGCTCGGATCACGCAAGTCACTCTTATTACCGACCAAAAATCTGCAGAGGATAAAAACAAATGACAAACAATTAAGGTATCCCAGTTACATTTTAGTGTCATCGAGTTTGCTCAGGTATCGGTTTAGAACTCTTGACCAACTTCATCTGAGAAATGCGCATTATTGTGGAAGTGAAGCTCATTTCCTTGTTTCTTAATAAAAACAAAATATACTTGGAGTGCACATAGTTTGAAGTCACTGTGCTGCTAAATTGCTTGTTATTTTGCAGAATTGAATTTTCAGTAATCTGGATGGCACAGAAAGCAGATATACCCTTGACCCTGCCCTTTGATTCAAATTATTTCTTATTTACATTTGGGTAATTTTCCGTACGAATAAACAAGGTTACCAGTACCTGAACTGTATTTTTTCTGTACCTATTCCTGAAGCAATCATTGACTAAGCAGTGACTTAAATTAAATACTTTTTTAAGTGGAGACACTACAGGCAAAACTAATTGTTTAATGTTTTTTTTTTTTTTTTTTATTAGTTTGGTCTCTTAGCATTCAAGCTTTCATGTAGAAACAAAAATGTCCACTCTGCACCAGGTTCCAATTGATATTTCTAAATTTTATATTTTTTTCTAATCACTTGCTCCCTTCAAAATGTGTTCTATTTTAATACCAACATTTTTTGTTGTCAGTATACCTTTATTGTTTCTGTAGTGATACATTTGAACATTTTTTTGTGAAGTCGTGGTCATGGTGCTCAAGTAGTAATACTATCATTGGCTGTGATCTTATTCATTTATATGATAGCTGTGTTATGGTGTATGGATCTCTATGCATAATATAGTCAGTACTAGGAATTTACCTAGGGATGTCCTGGCCCAGGGAGTTTTGTCTACATTCCTCTATCCAGGAGTTGAGTCCACTGAAGCTGGCGGGACATGTGACGTCATAGATGAAGAGAACAGCATGGACGTTCCTGTAGTAGTGCTGCACCATGGACTTCCGAAATCGCTCCTGTCCTGCTGTGTCCCACAACTGTAGCTGCAAGAGTCAAATAAATGAATAAACAAAATACTTTGTCACTTGACCATCAGATAATATAACATATAAAAGCTGATGTGAAACTTGAACAAAAACTATAAACAGACACAAAAGTACAGGAATAAGGAGAGAGACCAAAAGAATTCCAGCTCTTTGGCACAGTCACTGCAAGGAAATCTTGGGTTCAACACCAGTTTCATGTGGTTCTTTGCATGTTTTCAACATTCAGCCTAGGCTCTCTAATGGGACTAGAACACCCTTCTTTTCGATTAGGCTATATATAAAAGAATTAAATTTAAATATGAATATAAAAATAAAGTCTTCTACACAATGCCTTGCTAGCAAAGCAGCAAAGGTTTGGCCCTTTGCTTTTAAATATAGTTTAAAGTTTTTTTTAATATTTGGGTTAATAAACTTAATCAAGATCAAGAATTTAAAGACCCCAGTAGTAGTATCCCTAAATGCAACAAAATTAGAAGACTTGACAATGTCACTACTGTGAAAATGCACCACAGCTAGAACCACTGGTCTGCAGTTGTTATGGATGGAGTTTGTGTGCTAAGAAGGTCATGTGTTAAAATCAGGCAGAGAAATGCATTTGAAATACTCAGTGACTCATCCCTGAGCAAGAATCAGGACAATGCAACAGAGACACGGACTATTACAACACTTACGCCTACAATAGTTTGTTTATGGATCTCAAATGTTTTAAAGAGATTTTATCTGGGATCTACAAGTATGTAAATCTTGATGGGGGAAAAAAAATTACTGAAAATTTAGAAAATTTTACCAAACAAAGCTTATAAACAAAGCAAGACACTTCCTCTTTCAGTTTGCATTTCCCGAACCTAGAAACCTTAATCCCACACAAAATGTCAAAACTAAAAACATTAGGTCAGTATGCTTAAAAGTGTACATGATGGCTACCGGTTGTTGTTGTTAAAAGCAAAATCCAGTCAAAGGTTCACACTTTTTCCATTAGAATTGGGCTCCTATTTTACGCACAAATCTAAACTTTTGCTGTGTGCTTACAAAGTCTTATTTAAAGCATGATACACTGACATGATTACACAACTTTCATGAAAGCTTTGACTTACCTTGATTACCTCTCCGTCAATCTCGAGCACCCGCTCTCGAAAGTCCACGCCGATGGTAGCTTCAGCTCTGCAGGGGAACTCTCCAGCGCAGAGTCGGTGAGTGAGGCAGGTCTTCCCCACGCCAGAATCTCCGATCATCAGCACCTTAAAAGTTCTGTGCCGGATCAAGAGTGAAGACACGCTCCCCAAAGAGCTGGAAAACTCAAGTGAAGAATCCATTTACGGTGTTAGATCAGGTCAAAAATCATGCGCGACTGCTCCACATGTGGCTTCAAATTGGAGCAAGTGGATCAGTGAATGTTGGCTCAGTCATTCCCTCCTCTGCTTTGGGTACTGTCTTGTAGTTGGAAATAAGAGGCCTGGCGTTTCCTTCCTGGGAGGGCTTTTACTGCCGAGTTTCAGATGACATCACAACATTTTAGAGGCAATTTATGTAATACACATGGGGGGGCATGGATCTATACTTCCAGCAGCTTCAGTGGATATTGATAATTTGCAGATTTATAACGGGTTATATTGGGTCTAATGGTCACTAATAGAAATGATCAGGTTCCACAACTGTGAATTTAGCTCTTGCATATTTCATAGGAACACTGTACTTTCTGTAGGCTATGTAATGTTAGCAAAAGGGAAAATTTACCCCCATATGGGAAAGGAGGAAGGAATTGTTGCATTATGAAAATAAACAAAAAGCACGTTATCGATACAGAAACTGGCCAAAATCAAGCATGTTGCTGCCATCTACTGGTAAAACCACAGTTGACATTTTCCCTGCCTTTAACGTGTTTTACGTATATTGCTTTAAAACTTCGTTTTATAGACAACCTAAATCACACTGTTTACCTGTTCATTTGAACCTGTTGAAGAAAATTTCCAAGGCACAATTGTTTTGTTTAATTTTAATACAAAAATCCAGAGATATCATACATTGCCATCTCATTATTCATCTTTCACATTAGAACCCAAATTAGAGGAAAAAGGGGAAGAAAAAAAAGATTAAACAAATTAAATGGGAGCCAGATGTTAAAATAAAATCAACACATTTATGTATATGACAGTATTGCAACAATGTTTAATTATGACTGTGACCATTGTGGATGAAATACAGATTTAAAAACAGCAAAGTGGCTCTGTCCGTGCAATAACTTCAAATCAGATCCAAAATGAATATCGTCGACAATAAACTTTGATCTTTCCATTTTGCACAAGGATGGAAGGGGTCCATGTATTAGATCTAACGTGCGCACTCCAGTCCAATATGTTGTAAAAATGTTAAGAATAGCAGTACTTTGATGGAGCGGACCATACGAACACAACCATTACAGTTATAACCTGTGCTACAAGCTGCTCCATTATAGCATTAAAAGGGTTACATACGTATGGATTTATTCCCAAAGTTGAATGAGGAACAAAAGTGGGAAGCACAGCCCGACCTGAAATTTCTTATTCACACCCATAAGTCCTGGCAGAGGTTGTCCTCTTTACATGGGCAGCCGCATTTTACATGTATTACAGAGCAGGTGAGGGGTACAGCAGAATTGGATACCTTACGCTGGATGTCTTACAATTGACATTAGGTCCTCAGTAACTTCTTTGCAGCTTCACAGATCTTCTCTTGGATCCGGTCAGCCCAGTCTCCTGTTACCCCGGGAGAGAGGTGTCCTGATTCGGTTAAATTAGCGTTTCTTTTAAAATAAGAGAGTAGCACAGTTTGATGTTGCCATGACATCCACGCCCATCACGACTCCCTCCCCTTTTTGTCGGAAAAGTTAGATTTTAGCTAGAGACAAAATTGCCATTTGTTTGTCTTCCTCTTTCTCCCCCTTTTCCACAAATATACACTCGACATGCACGCAAACACACATGCACTCTTGAACACACACACAGTCCTGATTTTCACCTTTTGGGAGGGAGCCAAGCCATGCCCGGTTAGACCCGATTGAGCCGAGCCAAAAGAACGAAAACGCACATTTTGGTTCCTGTGTCTGACTCTACAAGATGGCTGCCAGGCGTACCACAAGGCTCCGTACTAGGCCCAATTCCTTTTTGTCATCCGCAGTCGTTTTGCTGTGCTCACATCTCATTACCAAGTTCCTCCGTCTCTGTAGAAAGGTCTCCATTGGCAATCTTGGCATTCTCCTCATATCCGGGGGGCATGAAAGCTAATGTGTAGGGATAAAGCTTGTGACACTCGGCACGGTAGGACTCTGCTCGCTCCTTACAGTCGCCCAAAGCCCCATTCCGAAGGTTCTCCAAGATCTCTGTGCAGATCTGAAGAAGAGGGACACTTTAACTTAATAAACTACAATTGGTCACAGAATGGTCACAGTAAAACTGATAAAAAATTATAATCGGGAATGTTTTTAAGCAGTGGTCGAATTCAACTTATCTGAAAATGTAAAACGCATTGTAACCCAGACTAAAATAATACCTGTATGGTTCGGTTTTCAAGCGATTCGTCAAGCGATGTAGCCAACTCTGCGGCTTTACTTTCCATAGATGAATCCAGATATACCATCATCTTGGCAGCTTTAAAACAGAAAAGTAAACAATTACAAACACCTATATATTAATAAGTATTATTATTGCAATCAAGCTTCAAGAGGCTTACCAGCCAGTCGATGTGGTATGGAGTTGCCATGCTTAGTGAGGTAGGCCTGGTTGAAGCTCTTAGCATTGCTGTCCCCAAACAACCGGGTAATCTCTTGTTTCAAAACTGTCCGGACAACATCTGATAGGTCCTTGCTTTCAGACACTGTGAACAAGAAAAAATATATTGAAATGACAGAATTTCTGGTGTTTTCCTTCTTGAGCTGCAAATTCATTATTCGTGAGATATTGTACTTTTTTACTACTTCTAACAAAGTCTAATAGCTAGTATGGAAAATGTCATACCTCCTTTGAAGAAGCGTACAAGACACTGATGCAGCCATGGATGGTCTGGGTCAATGGCTAATGCCCTCTTCACCGACTGAAGCATCAACAAGTACTTTTCTGAAATCATATTTAAAAACATTAGAAAAGATGCCAAACCTTTCTATTCACAGAACAGTGTTTTATTGTTTACCTTTCCTGAAGTAGATTTCAAAGGCCAATAAATGTGTGTCAATTTTATCTTTGACCAAGTGCTTCAAAGGCATCAGGAACTTGACAGCTTCCTCCAGTGGATTTTCTACCTGCAAAGAGGGTCAAAACAAAGCAAATGTTAGTATCACAACATTGGTATGTCACATCTAAGAATGAAGTGCAGATGTATGGTAAGTGTCTAAGCAATGTTTTATTAAGATTAAAAAAACATAATGAAGATATCTTTAAGTATAAGTATAAAGTATTAAGATTATCTTAAAGTATAATTAAGAAACAGTGCAATGACCTATTTAAATTTTAAAATAGTACATGTAATGTGACTGAAGCAGAGGGTTACTTAGTGCAAGGGTTAAGAAGCTCTAAAGAAACTACAGTCAGCACTATTTATATGGCCATAGAAAGAGGAAATGCTGGTATTATATCATTTTTTGAAAGAGAAAAACAACAAACCTGAATGTAATTTAATTAAAATATATAATCATATTTTAATTACACAGACACACAATGAAACTTTTCTGGGGGGGGGGGTCCACCCCAGATATCTCCGTAGAGATATATGGCATGGAATACATCAGTTTAGCATTAAACTTTTTAAAGGAATTTTGCGCATAACAAACAATATAATGAAATACTTGATAGACAGATAAGTTCAAAGCCATACTGCGGAACATTCAAAGCAAAGAAATATGGAGATAAGCAAATGGATGACCCCCCCCCCCCCATCAGAAAAGTAACATGGTCTACCTTTAATAATACATAATGAAAGTTTATTGGGCACCAACCTCCTTCAGTTCAAAGTTCTCTCCCAACACTCACCTTCACCAGTTTGTCTGGGATGAGTTCCTCTTTGGGACCCCCTATTTCCTCGTCATCGTCCTCTTTCTTCTTCTTCTGGTTTTTGAGCTGCTTCTCTTTCTCTGCATTCTTTTTCTCCTCTTCCAACTGTGCTTTCTTCTGGGCTCTCCTCTGTTTGTTCCTAAGCTTTTTCAGTTCTTTATCTGACAAATTTGCTACATCAGAAGAAAGATACAAAATGTTAGCTTGTCCAAGTCATAACATACTGGTGCAGTATAGACAGTATTAGGGCTTGACAATTAATTAAATTTGAGTCAAGATTTAGATTCAGTCTATTTCTTTGTGTTAAATGGCAATGATTAATTCTATCTATCTATATATCTCTCTATCTCTCTCTATATCTCTCTCTATCTATATATCGCTATATATATCTCTGTATCTCTATCTCTATATCTCTATATCTTATCTTTTTTTTTTTTTTATATAATTTAGATCAATCGGATCCTTTTGTCATACCACTCAGCCCATAGTGTCCTTACCTGTGTCAGCCTGGAGTTCTTTGCTATCGTCAGTGAGGGGATTGTCATGAAGGCTCAGGTAGATTTGAATGGCTGTGGTGGCAGCCTTGTAATAAAAAGGATGCATCCGGAGCACGTCCTCCAGCTTTAAAAGGTCTACATAGGAGCGCAGCGTCATCTTCCTCATACAGTAGGTGTGGAAGTCAAACTGGTCGTCCGTGATCTCTACAAAATGCTAAAGCAAAAACAAAATATTTTATTCATACTATGCCTTGTTTATTGACTGTTTGACAGCAAAATGGTTGAATTCTTTAGGTTTTGCAATCATCCAAGTATTCAAGTAGCTTCTTTAGTTCTTATAATGCTCTGCTCTGGTAAGGGGCTGGCTTGAATTTCTACAATAAAATTAACTCACCGTAGTTGTCCAGAGTAAACAGTTTATACCTTTGGGTATTTCAGAGAATGTAACTAACAACAAATACTGTCACCTCCATCGTATTTTGCTTAACTTTTCACAGTAACTGGTAGATCTAAATTGCAATATGGAATAAAATGTCTTTTAAAAGTTGGTCTGAACAGCAATTTTAATCCTATAGCATTCCACCAATTTGTGCAGAAAACAACACTTACCCTTTCGATTTCATGGCACTTTTTCAGGGCTTCACCAAATTTGTTCATGGCTTTATAGGCAAGTGCACACTCAGTCTGGAACCACATACACTGCATCTCATTGAGATTCTCCACTGCTGATGCCCCCTCCTGTCAACAGACCAAGACAAAAGAACATGATACAAAAATCTATCTGAAAGAAAATGTCACTTATGAAAAAATGACAAAAAATTTTAAAAAATGACAATAAATGACAATAGGAACTAGGAGAGCAAGATCCATTCGAAATTGAAATTTTAATGGACATAGTTAAGACTAAAGTACCAGAATTTCCTCCACAGACAATACAGGCAAATATTTTAATGTCTTAATCTGACTAAC